GAGCATGGCTGACTGCAGTCAGTACAGATCTCTTCTTTACCTCCTTCCTAGAAAGAGGAAAGTGGAAATTACATACTATATATTTTAGAACTACAGCATTCAATGTAATGCTGCAAGTCTTGCAACCGTCTTAAAATTAAACACTTCACCGTCAAGTGTAAAAATTCCTCTTTTCCAGGAGCTTGGATAAACAGCGACTAACTCCCAGGCAGTCCCTGAATTTGACTCCCATCTTTCCAAAACCTTCATCCCAAAAAGCAAAGATAAGGAATGGTTTGGTGGATACACCGGTCAGCTGGGCACCTGAACAGCACCCGGAGGCTCATGCTCACATCCCCAACTATTCCTTCACCTCATCCATGAGGCCAAACTCCCCCACCCCTTACCTGCACAAGGACCCCAGCCCCTCATGATGCCCCGTTTCCCCAGGAGGGAGAACTGGGAGGCAGTGTGTTAAAACACATGTCTTTGAAATTACAGAAAAAAAAAAACCTGTGCAGAGAAGCAAACCTGAAAGGCACACGGTTGTACCCCAGGAGGCCTTTCCACACTGCGCAGGAGGGCTGTGAAGGTGCTTCCATTCTCTTGCCTCCTGTTGAGGGATGAGATGAAGGGGTTTGTTGCATCTCAGACCAAGGGGTTTTTTTCCTCACTAGATGTCGTAAGGGTTGGCTGGGGTTTCAGACTCTGAACTGAATACAGGCTTTGTAAACACGAGCACCAGCCTCTCAGCAAATGAGCGAGAAACCCAGCACATGTGCAAAGTCAGAGCTATAGGAAAGAGTCCCCTAAACCAGTGGAGTGCCCTGGGGGGCAGGTGGGTCGCAGCGCAGCTTCTGGAGTAGCAGCAATGCATGCGGAGTCTGGCATGCGGCCAGGGAGAAAGGCTGCCTCCAGCTGCCTCATCACCCACCGCGGCGAGCAGGCCCTACCCCATGATCCAGTATGTGGAGCTTTCCACGCTGGGCTAGAGAAAAAAGGTCGCCTTTTAGCACAGGGGGCTCTAATTTCATTTGAGGTCTCTAGCTATTAGAAGAAATCCATTTAAAAAAAAATATAAAAGTATTATTTACCAAAACCAATTTTGTACACAAAACCATGCCGTCAACTTGAAACTGTTTTCTTCCTGTGAAATGCAAGTTGCCACAGCAGACTATTGCCCAATCTCCTTGAGATTTTCAAACGCACATACATTTTTCATGACGAAGCAACTATAACGAAGCTCCTTAGTCACATTGGTGTGGTTTACACACCACACCTTTTGCAATCCCACAAAAATGTACCCGTGATGAATGCCTGTCAAACACCTGAAGTTTGCAGCACTCGAAAGAAAAAAAGCTCACAGCCAGCCACCACGAACGTGTCGCAAATCTGAGGTACGTGCAAGCACACGCTGAACTGATAGGTTACCACCAGCCACTGTGGCAACAACAGCGCCAGAAGGAAATACAAAGCCGCGGTGAATTTTTACCTTTGCATATTTGTTCATCAAGAGATACCAACCTGACGACCTCCCAGGCTGAAATCATATATTGATCCTTAGGACAAGAGCAATACTGGCACGAACTGGGGAGCTTGCGCTGCCCAGGATACACCTCAAGCTCTGTCCTGCCTGGAGATGAGTCTTTCAGGCTGGCAAACACCCACCAACCCCTCCGCAGGAGGGCCAGGACCCATAACTCCTGTGACGCACCGTGCAACACCCCGTTACCAGTTCCACAGACCCACCCTCTCATTTTATCCAACAGCACACTTCGCCATCTTGAACTTCTTTGCAAACTCCCCAGCATATTGGGACAACTCTACTTCGAGCAATAGAGTGAGTGCATTCATCCCTCAGCAAAGGATCAGATGTATATGAAGCCTCATTGCCTATTAAACACTCCAGCTGCTTCATCCCGTCCCCGCTTCCCCGCTCCCCTTGCAGCATATTTAAAGGGAAGGTGCCTGGCAGAAGGACAGACAGGGTCCTACAAGGCACACGCTTCGCTACAGCCGCTGCAACTTCAGTGGGACTCCATCGTACTGCCTCCACCCCAGCTGCAACTGAAGCTGAAGAGGTTTCTTAGGTTTTGGGGAATGGGAAAAACCTCCATTGAAGCGCAGGGCAAAGACGACAATCACAGTACTTTGGGGAATGGGAACGTTCAAATCCTTGGCAAACAGCCCTATTTGTATGCACACAGTATTTAAAGGTAGAATAAAAAGGTATCTGCCTCCGTGGGATAGAAAAGTTGGAGTTTAGGGCACAGACCAGCCTGAAATAGGGCGAACGAGGGACGCGGTGAGGAGCACGTGCAACACCAGGGCATGTGGAAAGGAACCAGACAGACACTGCCATGGTGGTGGCCAACTCGTGAGTCGCCTTTTCAAGTCACCGACTTCTACAGTAGAACTGCTCATGCTTGAAGTTTCTAGGAACTAGAAGTCTTCAGCCGAAGGAAGTCTTTGACCACATTGGAAGGATGATGGAAGTTCAAGCTCAGCTTGTAGTGCAGGTGCCTCCCAAGATACAGGCTGTCTACCACGGACTTGCCTTGACAAACTCCGAGCAGAATCATCTTTTCTGACAGCTTACCTGTAAGCATGAAACCTGACCAGCATTGAACCTGAAGGTGGAACGCTTTAAAAAACAGCTTCTCTGGAAAATGATTACTCATTCATGGTTACTCATCAAGATTAGTTAACAGGTGATATATTAGCATCCAGTACTAACACCCGGGACCTGATCAGCCTACTTAACAGGAGCACTCCTCTGTGCCTTTCTTGACCAATTTCATAGTCGAAAACAAACTGGCTACATATCCGAATGTGTTTGCTAGACACATTAGCCAAATGCACTCAGTAAACCACCGAGCCAGTTTCCTTGAAGTCTCGTTGCCTGGCACCATACTGCAATCCTGTAATTGATCAGCATTTACGTCCGACGCAACAAATTCTGTGATTCTACCTGGGATCAGCGCCATGCCAATCAGCTTGCTATATCAGCGTACTAACGAACTTTTGCTCCATGAAGCTTTGGTGGTTCTTTGGGGGTTACTTAAATATCAACATCAGTACGTTTCACATAGGAATTCAATTTAAGAGACTTTGAATGCATGATACCCACCTTTAGAAAAGGCACTAAAACGCAGAGCCACTTAACTCCTGGAAGAGAAAAACGCCATTAACACTGTCACAACAGAGAGAACAGAAACATTCCACACTTCTGCTTTTTTTGCACCATTTTGAATCATCTTACCATCCGTGCGTAGCCATAAATTCCCCCAATATATTAAAACCCCTCCTTGCTCTTCACAACAGATTTTTTTCATGGATAATTTTTATCTTTCCTAGCATTTTAATTTGCAAAGATCAGCTTCCTCAGTTTCTCTAGCCCCGAATCCACTCAAATACTGCTGTTAGTTCTCCTAATCAGAACATACTTTTACGTACAGCAATAGCGGCATTTCTTCTCGGTGCGAAAGGGGAGTGGGAAGAGACTGACAGAAGAAAAACGTGCAGCTTATCTTTAAGGGGAGCTCCCTTCACTCACCTTGATTAGAAGATAGGAAAAGAGTAATTTGCCTCATTTATAGGTTTAGAAAACAATCTCTTTCAGAACAAAATACACGCATAACATCGGTCAGCCTTATGTTTAATCTACAGAAAACTTATTTAGATCACAAACACTCATTCAGGCAGCCACGTACCCTCAGCCCACTGACAGATCATCTTTGCCGAAGAGTGCAAGAGTCAGTCCTTTAAAGACTGATACCAAGATTCTGAAATTTCACCAGGGGCAGCATGAGACCTTCAACGCATCCCCTATTTAGGGCCAACAAGTTGTAGAACTTCAGGCAGAGCTAACAGAGCCAACAGTTTGGTTTATTACAGAATCCTTTTTTAGGCAAAGTCATGGCCGATCGAAAGCCATCCTTCGGGGATGAATTGGTTTCCATGAAAGATATCCAACGGTCTTCTTTTAATGAAGCATTTTCTCCCCAAAGGTTCACTTAACTTGTTTTGTATAACAACAGGATGAAAAAAAAAGTTAATTAAAAATATTATTGTACTTCTTTTCTTTAAAGAGTTCTCTCATTTATTCCCCAATCCTGAATGCACCAGTGCCATAGCTAGGAGGAAAAAGAAGGAAAAAACCAACCATCCCCCAAGCTCACACAGAACAACTTCTTGCCATCTTCTTGAAAATCTGTCAATATCTGGTAAACCAATAAGCAATTAAAAAGACTCCTGCAACCAACATATACTAACAGAGACCAGAAATTTAGGAGGCAAAACTCCTGAAGACAACCTGCATAAGGTTTGTTGCTACGCAGAGGTTTTTCTTTTTCACCTCAGTCTTCCTGGGATTCTCACTCAAATCCCTCCTTGGACCCATTGGTATGAAGTAAAATGCTCACTGGCAAAAGCTAAACTTTGCAAGGGGCTGGAGAGACTGGACCTATTTGGGCAAAGATGCTACATTTATACTAACCACCTGAAGAGTCTCATCCCACAATAGTTAAATTGCTGTCACCGTTTTTCGGCTCCTGCTGATTAGCAGGTTTCCAAACACCATCTGAAGTTCAGTGTGGGCTAGGAGCCGCTCTTACAGGCAGCTGCCCTGCTTTCCAAAGCAGGATTTTAACTGTAAAGAAGTCGCTTTGGTCTCATGACTACAGAGCTATCTCTGGCACTGGCAACTACTGGAACAGACATAGAGAGTTAAAAAAAACCCCCCAACCAAACAACCCAACCCCAAAACCAAAACTGTGGCACAGGAGAGGAGGAGACCCTGCATGAAAATGGCAATAAAGCCACACGACTAGAAGCCAGAGTGAAACAGGCACACAGAGATAGGAAATTTAGCAAGTTCAATCTACCGCCTGCTATGTAAAAAAATTTAAGGCTAAAGAACTCCTGCGCATTAGACCTCTCTCTTGTAACAGTTTTGTTTTGATGTGATAATCTTTTTCGGAGAAGACTAGCAGTAACGAGACAAGGCAGGTATACAAAACTTTTTATTGACAACAGAACAATAGAGAGGAACGTCACCACTTCCCATTCCTCAGGAATGTCTCCATTTCACAGTCAGTCTGCTAAAAGTATACTTTCATGGTAACAAGCAACACGAGGGCATGGAGCGGCCTGTAATCTCAAGAACAATGTTTCATCAGTGCAGTGCAAAGGGACCGACAGCGTGCAAGTGTGCAGCAGGCCCCGTCACGACACAGACATGGCAGGCAACTGTATATGCAGAGCCAACGGGCACAGACACGAAGCAGTTCGAAGCCTCAAATTATCTCCTTTACTTCTGGCTACGGGCAATACCTGAAGCCCTACTCCATCCATATTCTGTTTCAGAAGTGAGTACTGTCTTCCCTCACTCACTCCTTTTGCTTCCCCTGTCCTCAAAGATGTTAATACTTCCAACTGAATGGGTACCGTGTCAGAGAATGCCTGAGCTTTTACCTTTTGCTACCTCGTACCCGTTCATGCATGCACTTGCGTTTATTTTCAGAAGCTTACATTGACGTAAGGGGGGTGGGGGGAAGTGCTGCATAAGAATAAAAGGATTGAGTTGTTAATGCTTCCTGGCTAACAAAAGAATTTGGTAGTTGTTGGAGATACTCCTTGTAATGCCATTTTTATAAAGTACGTATGCAGTCTACTTAACGTTTTAAAGGAACTGCATGTCGAACTCTCAACATAATTTAAAATACTCTGAAATGAAATTTGAACTGAGAGTCAATCTAAACAACAAAATATCTTAAGTTTAGCTTTCACAGTACACTGAACTGCACGCTGAGTGCAAGGTGAAAGCACTCTTTCTCCTGCATAATTTTGTTTTGCCTGCAGAACTGTACTGGGACCCCTGTGTAGTAGCTTATACATTTATTAACATTTATTAATTTATCATGTTTTTCCTTTACTTAGTGGATGTGCCTCTGGATGTGTAGACTGGTTGTTAAAGTGCTTTAAAATAAAACAAAAACCCCAACAAAAGAAAACATCCCTCAAAAACCACAACAGATGTGAGGATTTTATCTGAAGGACTTTGTACAGCATTTACAATGTCAGCATAAAGCATCTGAAACATGAGCATTCCCCGCAGACTGATGCAGTGCAAGCAGTCTCATACGTTAGATACTGCAATTCCTCTGGATTCAAGATGCACAATACTTACAAAAACAACCCTAGAAGCACAGACAAATGCTGGTGGCTCTTCCTCTTCTTTTTAGAAACATAATAAAAAAATCTGCATTACTCTTTCATAATTTAAATACATAAGTAATCTCCACTTTTATTACTTCATGACAATGACTTCAAATTTACATTATTTTAAGTACCATCATAATAGCTCCATGTATAATACAGATATTTGCTCATATCCTGTCAGAAAATAAAAAAAGAAACAAAACCCTTCCACTATATAAAAAAAATTATGCTGGAAAGACGAGAACACAGAACAGGGACCTGGTACAGACTATGATTTCAGTTTTATATCAACCACAGTTAACCCAAAATTAACAGATACACAGCCATATTCAAAAGCAGTGCAAATATCTTTGGAGGTTAGAATAAAATTATACTACAAGAACATAAGACAGAAGAAATTAAAAGGCAAGTACTTCAAGTACAGGAACCAGTCTCTGTGAGGTCCACCTTAGTGTTAGCTGGGAGTTCCTTTTCCCATCTTACTTCTTCCTCTGAAACACGTTAGCCAACATTGCACCTGATGTAGTCAGCTGGCCCATTTTGTTCAAAAACTTGGTCTTTGTGTCTTCACTTACAAGGCTTGCTGCAATCGACATTGAGCTAGGAAAGTAAAAAAGGTGGTGATGTAAGACTACACAGAAAAAAGAACGCTCTGCTGCTGTTTAATAAGCAACTGAATTGTCTTTGCATTTTAGAGGTTGCAAGATCACAAAAGACCAGTCCGTCAAGAAGAACTGAAAAACCATCACCACCAAGCCCAAAGACACACCGTTAAATGAATTATCATGCCCTCCCAGTCCTAGCGAAAAGTTGTAAACTATTTTTGTGCACAGTAGTTTTTACTGCCTTTAGAAGTCACCACATTAGCATTTGTTAGCTATTTGGCAATTGCTCTAGTGACAAATACCTCTGTGAAAGATCAGCTTTACCTTCTCACGGGAAACGTCAATCCTTGCTTATTTAATATGAGAACAACAGTACTGGTTCAGACCAAGCATCTGTCTAGCTCAAGTATCCTGCCTCCGGCAGTGACCATTTAGCAGGCATGGAGGGAAGAGTAAAAGCAAGGTAAGCACAAAACAGTGACCTCTCTCCTTAATTTCCAACTCTCCTATTTTTCCAAATATTTCCACCTGAGTAGAGTTTTAAATCAGTGTGGACTGTCAATCTACCAACTCCCAATGAATCTTAATTTTAGATTACTTGTTCAGCTTTCCCTCAATCCCTTTGTAAATTTCTTGTAAACCCCACCCCGGGGCACCGAGTCCTCTTAGGTCTACCCCTTGCTGGGTAAAGAGCTTTCTCCTTCTGGCTGTGGTGAATGTGACTCCTACTACCTTTGCCTAAGTGTTCCTACTTCATATGTACTACAGGAGACAACGGAGAGTCCACAATTTTCCCACAAACCAGACTAGAAGGGGCAACCCAATCAATGCTGAACCTACAAAATGCTACAACTTCAAACAACATGTTAAGAAATTATCCCAATGCTGCAAAATTAACTGTTTTGCTTTTTTTTTTTTAATTTACAACACAGCTGTGAGCTCAACTTCAGATATACATAAGTGTTTAGGAGTAATCTGTCTCAAGACAGCAACCAGGCAAACGTATTTTTCAACAGCAGACAGGGCCAATGTTACAAAACATTACCAGTGAAATTCTCCCTTGTGAGCTCAGCGCGGACTCTGCGTTTCAAAATTATACCCAAGATCACAAGGATCTGCCTTACTGGCACAGGCCAGCTTCCAGGAACTGACTTTTCAGTCTGCAAGGTTATAAAAAGTTGTTAGGTGCTTTTGCATCAAGGCAGGTCAAGTTACAGTTAACTCCAAATTGCTTCAACAGCATTTGAATTATTCCTTCAAAGGCAGCAGGGATGCATTCATTTCCCATTTCACACCACGAAGAAAGGTGCTTAGTGGTTACCATAGGCTGGTTCTTTTTCAACAGGGTACTTGAAAAAAAACAAAAGGGAAACTTCTCACTAAAGCTGTACTGGGGATTTACAGGTAGCGTAATTGTATCCTAACTATATCCCCCATCCCTTCTACTTTTTAAGCTGAAATGACTCCCTCTCTCCTGCATTTCCACAGTGCCTAAAGGACCTAGGTCCCTGAAGGGGCTTTAGGTATGCCTCACAGCAAACCTAGGAGTATCGCAAAACATACTCTTTGGTATTTTTTTCAGTACATCTCCTATTAATGGAACAGGTTACTCAAATAATTTAAAATATTATTATTATTTGGCATTTTCTGAAAGCTCTGTAAGGCTCCTAATTTTCTAATGTTTAGTGCTTAAGCATGATTTTATTGAAAGTATGACATCTGAATTTTTAGTAAAGTTTAAAATTTTGAAAACTGTTCTCAGGTTCTCTCTCAGACAACATCAGATTAAAACTTACATTTTAAAAAAACTGTATTTTTATTCTATTGAGCAGCCAATGATGAAGATATATAGCTGTTCTGAAATGATTTACAAACTTTTAAAGTGAAATATTTCTTTCAGGCACAGTGACATAGCCAGACATCTTTGGCTTGATTAAACATCTACAGTCAACTATCGAACTGCGTATTTTCAGTTGATAAAACTTAGCAGGTGAGTTACTACTACTTTAAGATGCATTTCTTGTTCAATTCCCCTTCATTTCATGATAAAGGAAGGGCATATAAATTATGTAAATAACAGTTTATATTTGCTATCAGCTGATTAACAACAAGAAGCTATTCCAGCCTATGATAGATCCTAGAGTTGCTGGCATGGATTTGGGAAATACCGTACATTCCAAGCATTAGCAACATAAAGAAAATGAAATTTCTAACTTCAGAGAAGAAAGCCTAGCAACTGGTGACAAACCTGTAGTTTTAAACAAATGGTGCTGTCATTATTCTGATCATCCTGAATAAGTTTGAGAAAAACCAAGAAGTGTTTACTTGACTTTCAAAACAGTTTTGGGGGACATCAACCATCTGATGTTAAAAATTAAAAATTGGAATGTCTAGAAGTTCATGTTTTCTAGTATTATGTTACTGTAAATAGAAAGGCAATCCACAACATTTGACATACTAAAAAGTTTAAATATGCCCCAAAAGTACTTCTATTAGTATACAAATTGAACATTTAAACATAATAATAAAAGCAATATGAAATAAAATAACTTGAGTCTCATGTCTTTAAAAAAATAATCAGAGAAGCCAACAAGGCAATAACATATTTTGTTTGAAACAAGTAGTCCTATAGAAAAGTCCTTACATTTACTCATTATTTAAGAAAAAAGCACCATGCTCACAAAAATAATGTGTAAACATCAAATTTTTGACCAGTGTCTAGATGAATTCTATATAGTTCTGCCCATTTTATGGGGAAGCTTTAGGCAAAACCAAACATTCGTGCTGGACATTTTATAAAAATCAGTTTGTAACATAAGTTGTTACCTTGTTAATTGCTAAAGAAAATGTTTAATAAAAGTGGCTAACCAACATTTAAAAACACAAAGTTCAATCTTGGTTTTAAAAAACTGTTTCTGTGACCCCATATTATTTGACCAACCTTCTCTAGCCGTAAGGGGCAAAGACGAGAACCAACATCATCTCGTGATTGCTTTTGTATCCGGTTTTATTTTTCTGCGCGCATTCTCATGTTGTTAACAAAACTTAGTAATAATCGCCTAGTTGCATTTAAATCCTTTGTCAAAAATATGACGCTGAAATTAGGAACTGAAATTGGCAAGGGCTTAGCAAGAAAAAGGAGACATTCATATATATATGAAAAGGTCATTTCTTCAGTGGTAAAATATTTCGTGTTAATTTTGTACAGTAAAAGACTGCAACCATAGCGTGATTTTGAATAAGGGGAAGGCTAATTCAAGAACGAAACAGCACATTGCTAAGACTTTCAAATATTCAGTAGCTGCATTCTAAAGGAAAACACTCTGAATATTGTATCATATTTGCATTTATCTGTTTCTGCAATGGCTGAATAGGAATAACTGCGATTTCAAAATATTTTCATAAGGGGGATTTTAAGTAATACAGGTCTCTTACCTTTAAGGCTAGTATGTCTGCACTCATTTAAGCTAAAGCAAAGTAAGTCTAAACCCTACATGAAATAAAAGTTGATCATTCAAACTCTAGCCATGCAGAGAACAGCTTTGATGAACTAAATAGGTTAAAACATTTCAAAGAAGCAAACCCACACATTTAAAAAAAAAATTTAAAATCCTGTCCAACTGAAGAGCACCGCTTGAGAATTAGGAAGAGCTCAGCCAAGGAATTTTGTTTCATAACCTTATGTTTCACAGTTCAATCAGTGCAGGTAAGATAATAAAAAAAACCTTCAGGTTAAGGTTAATGGTGTTCTTTAAAGAGAGCAGTTTGATATTGCATACGTCTGCTCCATTCTGAGAGAGAAAAAAATTTCTTTCAGGAAACATTTGCCTGAGAAGGAATCAATTTCATATTTTCTAATGAACTCTTCTAAAAGGCTGTCAAGAAGTTGCTCAAGGAGTGATAAATTAATTTACTTCAAAAAAATCTTTATCAGACATAAAAGTCTTACCTTATATATTTAGATACAAACACTACTTTTATTTTTTTTCTTTACACAGTCAAAATCTAAGGTGGTGGCTTTTTTATTGCACAAAGAATCAAAATGAAAAAGGAAAAAGAATATGAGTTAGTCTGCAGATTTAATAAAAAAGTCCATAAAACCCAGGCAGGGGAAATATTTGCAAAGTAATACATGCCCATGTATGCAACCGATTCTAACGAATCAACTTGTTAGTCAAAATATTAAGTCATTGCTTATGTAGAGGGACGTCCTTGCACAAGTTGGTTGGTGAGAGCCTACAGCAATTGCTTAGCATCAGATCTGCAAAGAGTCTGGCTGTTACTTCTGCCTTGCCACAATTACGTGTTGGGTATCTACTACATAAGGTACACAGTACAGGGAAGACCTTGATAAAACTCGTGTTTACTTGCAAAAAATATGATGGGTCTAATGGGGCAATTAGCAAGTTTCTGTCTTGCCAAGAATCATTATTGGTAGGTTGCTTTCTGAGGGAATAGCTGGCTTAAGTGCCAACCTTTAACATAGCTGAAGGCAAGCTAAGCATTCACCATTCTTTAAAAATAAATGCAAATACACACCTACTGAAGAACCTGAAGGATACAGGAAAGGGATGGGCATTCAGAGCATGGCTATTGGGGGGGGGACACAGAGGTATACAAGCCAGAAAGCTCAGTTTAAGAGAAGGCAAAAAGGGTATGGGCAAAAGTACAAAGCCTGAGAAAGTAACATTATGAAGCCCTGGGAAAAAACAACAGCATAAATGAATGCATTTTTTGGTTTTCAGCTAACTGGCTATTTATGTTGCAAGCAAGGAATATGCCTGTGGAGTCATTAAGTCAAATAAACCTGTTCTTATTCTATGAATAATTAATATGCCAAAGAAATACCTATTTCATCATGAAAACAGACACTCAACTGGAATACACTTAGTCAGTACAGCCCCTACTTCATAATATTGCCACATGAACAGGAACAAGGAAAGAAGGTGACTGACAGCATATTCTTCAGATCTTAAAGGTTTTGTATTCCTTCTCCCTTAGACAGGGCTTCTGCATGACCACACAGAACCAATGACCTTATTAGAACAGATAAACTATGGATTGTGATTTGTTGTACAACCTGGACATTTTTAGTCTTAAAATTATTTCACTTCCAAAGTCTAAAGTTCATTGCTAGTACACCTTCAAGAGTTGACCTGATGCTTATGTCTCAAATGGATTCAGTTCTTACTACACTCCATTCATTATCAACTACACCAGTAAACAGGCTAATTACCACTAGTAAAGACTGATATATTTTATTTGGTGCATGAGAGACTGACTCCTCCTCCACACTGTATCTCTTCTGTTCATTTCTTGTACACCTTTCCTATTTCAGTCATTCTCAAACTACCAGTGGCTTCCAGAATTTTGCCTGACCTCTTTCAAGTAAATTCTATACATTTGTTACAGAAATGGAAGCATGACAAACAAGTTTTAGCAATTGTCTTGATTCCCATGGCAAGGTATCAGGACTGAGGACAGATTCTCTTTTTCAGATGCCTACTGTTTCTTCTCAAACTCTTCCTGGCAAAACCACTATGGATTTATTAAGTTATACAATAATCCATGAGAAGTTACCTGCTGGTATGCCATTCCAGGCAACAAGCAGGTGAAAGAATACATACACCTCATCATAATGATGCTTAGCTTTCCAAATGTGTGGGTCTGTTAGCATCTTTTGTTATGAGGAGAGCCACACACGTATGAAAGCACCTCTACCACATGAGGTGAACTGATGCAATATACACCATGTGTCTGATGCCTCTCTGGAGAGCTGCATTTACTGTGCATTTGCAGAATGGGTGTTTTACTGAAGTGCAACATAGGTGGCATTTTCCCAAAGCCAACATGTTTACTGAACAGTGTATTCGCACAGGTAGGTCAGGTTGTACACTGGAGAAACTGTTCTTGCGTGCACTAGCCACATGCAAGCAGAGACAGCAGCCTGGAGCAGGTTACTACTACGACCAGAACAATTCCTTCAGCCTGCAGGCCACCCCCATGAAAGAGGGTTGCAAGGTGCGTGCCACATGTGTTGCTCCAAGCACTTAGGCCAAGCACTCCCTGCTTTCTCAGATTCAGAACAGAAATACAATCACTCCTTTAAAGGGATAAAAAATTAAGAAGAAAGTAACATGGGAAAACAAGAATGTTATTGCTATGATACAAATAAAAATGAGTTGTCCCGTGTTTTACACTGGAGACAGAAACAATCACATACTGAATTAAAGTTCCTAAAGTCTGCTTTCAAATACAGAAGATGTCAGTGCGGGATTTCTGGTCACAAGCCTTGGACACCATTATGGAACAGACTCCGCAGAACATGAATCTGGAGGCACAGAAAAAAGAGAAGTGGAAGTCTTACCCCTGCGGTTCTTGGACGGTCTTGTTTTCCACTTTCTGTTCACACTCTTTTATCATGGAGCTTAAAATAACCTACAACACATAAGGAAGAGATATACATGACATTTTTTCTCTTGCATTAACATTTCGTACGAAATCTACTCCGCAACTAATTCTGACATTAGCAGAACCGTTTAAAAAGTTCCTCTGTTGCTTTTCAAGTGCATTTAAATTCCAGCTATCTGATAACGCCTTGTGGCTAGAAACAACAAAACCATTCAGAATACTTTAAGGAAGAAAATGTTTTTGAAATAGTCACAGGAGGTCAAAACTCCCTCCTGCTTCCCCTGGCTTTTTAAAACAGAGCTAAAGCAAACTCACTTCTGTGACACACCTCCTTATCTATCTTCCTTTTTTGAAACAATACCTTTATTTATTTGCAATTAACTTTGACATATATTCATCTTCCCTCTATTTTCCTTCAGGGAGTTTTCAAGTACCTTTGAAAATTCTTATCTTTACAAACATTATGCATGAAAGAAAAAGCAAGAAAAGAGAAGAAAAAGGTGTGATGGCATTCTGAGACAACATCTTAATGGAAAGGAAGTGCAAAAGCAAACTTGGTGGGTTGTTTTTTTTTTTCACTGGTGTCTTCCAGGGTTTCTATCAATCAAGGCTTTTTTTTTTTTTTCTCTTTACTTTTTGCAATTGCAGCATTAAAGGTTTCTGCAGAATATTTAAGATGAAAACACCCCCACGCTGACATTTACATTTCTCCAGCATACCAAAAATAAATGAACATTTCCCAACAGCAGGCTTCGAAAGAAATCATATAATTCATTGGTCAGGTATGTAAGTCCCTGCTCTGCCCACAACAGCACTGTTTTAACACATTAAGTCAAAAGTATTTGAAACACTTAGGGCAAAACAGTTGCAATGCAGCATGGGAAACTATAAACACACTGCATAAATGGAAACTTTCTCTGCTCACAGAAAGTGTAACTATTTTAAAATGAATTTATATACACAAAAAAGCTGCTTTCTGTCAAATCCCTACTAGACAGCTACAGCACAAAATATCCTTGAAACCATTTATTACAGTGATAAGATATGGCCTGGTCTGCAGATCTATGCCATTGCTCACTCTATTCCTCCAAAAATATTACTTCAACATCTGAACCAGTTTGGGTAGCAGTTGTTATATACCCTTGAATGTTTCAGAAAGCAGCATTCAAACCTGAGTACGAGTCTAACAGGACTACAACCCTTACTGCTAAATTTGTTGTCCTTCGTTTGCTTAAAATATTATGTAAGTACTTAAACTCAAGAATGCAGAGGTACAGGGGAAATGCATTCAGAATTCCAGTGACAAAGCAAGCTTTTCTTTCTGTATCAAAAGAAAACTGAAATTTCCAAGCACAGTGGCCATAATTTTTGTTACTTAGCATTTCTATTTATGCTTGGAGCACTTAAACATTTTTGTACATCTATCTGAATCTAGATGTTCCAAATACCAACAATATGAAGTCTTGATCAAGGGGGAGAATAACTCAGCAAGGACCCAGAATCATTTGAATACCAGGATGGAGCACCCATCCATTGCACAGCTCCTTCTGGGAAGGCTGCATAACTCTTGGATGAAGTGCAGCGATTCTTCCCTCTTCCCCAAATTTATTTGTCTTAAAGCTCAGGGTGAAACAGAGGAAAGGTAGAAATATAGTATCATATAACAATTCTACATTATGATATTGCACACACTGCTCACACCTATCCCCTTGGGTTCTCTTGGTTTGGTCATAGGACTGACTGAAATCATTTAGACCTCCTTTAAGAGAGATATTTTAGAGATATAACTCTAAATATAGAGACATTTAAGAAACATAACGTGCTGAAGTATTATAAACAGTACTGCAAATGGACTAAATATTTTTATCAAGTACTGATTACATCTCACTATCATGCAACTCAAAATCCAATTATTTTGAAAAGGAATAGAAAGCAAGTTGAAAAGGGGGAAGAAGGGACTTGACACGGAGTTAGAGATGCAGCAAAGTATCTGAAATGTTTATGTTAAAGATGAGAGGGTTTGGCTTAAAATGCCCCAACTTGCACTTTTGTTTATATGAATGAAAGGAAAGCAAGTATGAGGACTAAGTTGTAAACGCTGCCTGACAGGATCACAAGCCAATTCCACAAATGTTACATTTCCAAGATGAGCAGAAACTCTGTAGTGATGTTAGAGCCACAAGAGCTAATGCTCTGTTTTTCTAACTGGTACGGCATTTGAATCATGAATAACACCACAGTGGCCAAAATAATGAGTAAAGGGTTAAATTTGTTTATGCAAATGCCTAACTATTTGAAATGATAAATCACATTTACTTCAGAGAACATAATTTTAAGACAGATGGCTTGAAAGACAGACACTAGAACTAACTGGGCCTCAGAGGTCTCTATCATGATGCCTACAAACATCCTGTTGTAGCAAGGAGCTGATAAAGCACCAGATTTCCATTTCTACAGTAAAAAGTTGTCGTGAGTTTTCTAACCCACTGGAGCAGGAGTAAACATTTTGAAATGTATGTTTCTCTCTGGCTAAAAAAAATAAAGGACTTGGCATCATGCCTGAAGGCAATTAATCACAGTGATGCAGAATGTGGTAAAGAAGGACTGAGAGCTGTCTTTATTTGTTCCTATTTAAGCCCTCAGTTTCCTTCTCTGGCTACAAAAATCAAAGTCAATCAAATAAGCTCTTTTGTTCTAACTCAGGGCATCTTTTGAACTGATGATGCCCTTAAACCTTAGAAGTTGTGCTAACTACTATACAAAAATATAGTGTTAGTATTTGTATCAGTTATCCCATTAGTGAATATGCTAGAACAAGGAAAATTAAGCTAAACGCAACTTTTACCTACTGCAGCTTTCAGATATATTCTTACACTTCCCAAAACACAATACAACTCCCATCTCACTCGGAACAGGGAGCATCATCAATACCAGATCTCCAGCAGTGCTGCCTGTGGTAAGGAAGCACAATTATGTTGCCTATGACTGATGCTCAGGTCACTGCTGTCCCTTCTGACTCAGCCCTCTGGAGTCAGATTCTTTCCTGTTAGGTCTTAAAGTTCCTCAAATTATTTCACCTCCAGTTCCACATATTGTAAATGATATAAAATAATACAATATACAGAAAATAAAAGAATGATACTATAGGCTATTAGACTGAAAATGTAACTGGAAGAAGGGACTTTGTTACGAAGTACAAGAACTTGGAACTCCTAGAAGAATCGTAATCTCAAGTCACTTTTGCAAACACAAGGAAAAGTAATTACTTTTCTCAAGTATAAAGTAATCCATGAAAGTGCAGTATTAACCTTCAAGAACCAGAAAGACGTTCCTTTGTACATTTTAATCTTTTCCTCCATCACTTGAAGTGTTCATACTGTCACGATTTTCCCAACACACAACTAAACTACATTTCCCATTCTCAGCTACTGATTTAATATCTATGTGTTTCAACCTCTGTTAGTGTTTATCCCCTTCAACTATTTACAAAAAAGTGCATAGACATATGGCCAAGATTTTCAAGTTTCTCAAGTCAGCTTCTCCTACTAGCTCTTCCCTTTTGCTACTTTCTGTAAGCTCCTTCTACCAGAGAAGATCTTGTTAGCTCCCATGTTGTCCCATCTGCTTACTATAATCTGCTTTTTACAATTCACAGAATGGTTGAGGTCAGCAGGGACCTCTGGAGGTCATCTGGTCCAACTCCCTGCTGAAGCAGGGCCATCTGGAGCCACTTGCCCAGGACTGTATCAAGATGGCTTTTGAGTACCTCCATGGATGGAGACTGCACAACCTCTGTGGGCAGCCTGTGCCAGTGCTAGGTCACCCTCACAGTGAAAAAGTGCTTCCTGATGTTCAGAGGGAATCTCCTGTGTTTCAATTTGTGCCCATTGTCTCTGGTCCTGTCACTGGGCACCACTGAGAAAAGCCTCATTCTGTCCTCTTTGCACCCTACTCCCTTCAAGTATTTATGTACATTGATGAGATCCACCTGAGCCTGCTCTTCTCTAGGCTGAACAGCCCCAGCTCTCTCAGCCCCTCCACTTATGAGAGGTGCTCCAGTCCCTTCATCATCTTCGTGGCCCTTCACTGGACTCTCTCCAGTAGGTCCATGCTTCTGTACTAGGGAGCCCAGAACTGGACACAGACAGTACTCCAGTTATGAAGTGCATCCCATGTATTTCAGGACTATACTTACCTCATCCTTGCCTATTATTTCTCTCCTGCACTCCACCAATTTTCATCTGCACTTCCTTAGATATATTGAGGCCACCGATTTTAGTATATCCTTGTTTGATGAAAAAGCAGACGGTAAAAACATTTCCTTTTTCTTCAAAGATCTGTGTTTCTACATGCATTTCTGACAGTTGCATATTTCTCTGCCCTCGGCTTAGAAATACATTTTAAAAGATTTTACTGTTTCTTAAATCATGTGACATATTCCTCATCAAAAAATGCCTCAATGCTATGTTTTGATACCAACTTATGAGTAGCTCTCCTTAACTTTCAGTTTTAAATACAATTACATTTCAACTTTTGCTGCCACCTGCATCTCATACGCAGTTAGTAAACGTAGCTGCTCACCTCATGCTCTGGAGAGAGATGTTCCATGTCAGTTCGTAAACACTTAAGTCCTGGTAAAAAGTGATTGACCATTAAATCCTCTGAAATAACTAAAAACCAGGTTGTTAAGGTATCATAAGGATTGTCTTCTGAAATGATAGAATTTTTTTTCTGTCTTCTGGTAATGTTATTCTACAGAACACACAGACAAGGTACAGCAGCAAAACCCAAGGAAACAGAACAGCATTTGGCACTTGAAGACTAATAAAAGAAAAAAGATCCTGAACATATTTCAATTTGTATATTTCATACATTCATACCATTCTTTTAATATTTTTTCTTAATTTACTGGTTAAGATAAAGTCTTTTGGTTTTGTAGCTTTTTTTTTTTTAAAGTATCTATCAGTTCCACTGTATTGGGTCTGCCTGAGATGGAGTTAATTTTCCTCATAGCAGCCCTCCTAGTGCTGTGCTTTGTATTGGTAGCTAGAAAGGTGTTGATAGCACTCCAGCATTTCGGCTACTGTTGAGCAGTGCTCGAACAGCATCAAGGCTGCCTCTCCATTGCCCCTCCCTCACCAGTAGGCTGGGGGTAGGCAAGATCTTGGGAGGGGACATGGCCAGGACAGCTGACCCAAACTGACCAAAGGGATCTTCCGTATCATATAACATCTACTCAGCAATAAAAGCTAAGAGAAAGGAGGAGGAGGGCAATTTGTTATTACAGTGTTTGTCTTCCAGAGCAACCGCTACACATACTGAAGGCCTGCTTCCTGGGAAGTGGCTGGACATTGCCTGCTGATGGGATGCAGAGAATAAATCTTTTGTTTTCCTTTGCTTCTGCGCATGGCCTTTGCTTTTGCTTTATTAAGCTGCCTTTATCTTGACCCATGAGGGTTTTTTTTCCATCTTATTTTCTCCCCCCCACCCCGTCCTGCTGAGGAGAGGAGTGATAGAGCAGCAGCTTCACGGGCACCTGGCATTCAGCAAAGGTCAACCCACCACATCCACCTTCTAGGAAAACAACTTCTTTATACTGAGCAGGTCATGTTTTACATCACACATTCAAAGACAAACTTAGTTATTTCTCAAGTATTAATCTTCTCCCCCCACCAGAGAATTAACAGCTGAACTTCCCCTAAAAAAAAAAAAAAAAAAAGATACAACAACAGGAAAGAGCACTGTAGGCTTCAAACAGGTGGGTAGCGATATCCAGTCTCTTCGAATCCACAGACTGCTGGTTGTTGACCAAGGCTAACTTGTGCAAGTGTGGAATAACAACTGTAAAAGTAAATATTGGAGTAAGTATTTGAAATTGCTTTCTGTAGAGTTGCTTAGCATTAAACAGTTGCTAATGGCAATCGCAGGCATCTGAAGCATCACACACCAGTGTGGAATAAGAACTGCAAATAATGGCTTTGGGTGGGACTGCCCTTGCAGATTTAACTGATCAACACAAACTTGAAATAAAGTTGTGGTAATGCCACCTAAAATGAAAAGGTGCCTCAGAGTACCTTTGAAATAGTAACAGCTTACAGAGAATATTTTGCAACATTATTACTCTCCTGCTGCTAAAGCTGTCTAAAACATGCTTCTGTTTTATAAGTACAGCTGATAAGCTAGTGACAGAGAGATGCATCTTCACTGACTACAGAGGAAGCCTGTCTAATGAATGTAGCCTGCTAAACTAGACACCTGCAGCCGGGCAGCATGGGCGCTCCTCATGTTTTGTTTACAAGTATCTTTAAGACAGTCTAACAATCGATTTTGCTCTTCCATTTCAGGGCCATGAAAAAAAGCTGGTTTGTTAATGTGGGATGCGCTTACATTTAAGATGTGTGAAATACTTGAAATTCGTATGCCAGCAGGAGGTGAAGCAATTGGGGGTGGGGAGACAAAGGCATTTTACATGTCAAGTAATTTAAAAAAAAGGACAACTTCAAATTTGCTCTGCAGCAAAGTGACTGGTCCGCTCTGACTCTGAAATCGTTCATCACCATGCTTTGGTGTTCTATATACAGACCAGTGTTTGATAAAGTGAAAATTACAGTAGCAAAGTCTTAAATACTGGGACATATCAAATTCTAAAAACAAGAGTTTTCATCAAACTTTCTGTAAGGAGAGAAAAAAAAAAATCAATATAACCAGCATACTATTAACTTTGGGACAAAAAGAGAAAGACTGCATCTTCCCACTGATGCAACTTACATTCATCTCTAAATCTGGGCTCAGCATTTGGTCCAACTCTTCCAAATGTTTTTATGATTTCTGTATGTAGAGAATGTTGGTCTTGATATTGAGGGTCCTCCAGGAAAGATGCCAGCTGCATTTTTACTCTTTCCAGAAGCTTAAATATTCCCAGAGAAATAAAAAAAACACACAAAAGAATAACGAAGCTAGAAACTGTTATGGTCAGTTCAGAGTATGTCTATAATTTTCCATATTGCAGATGCTAAATCTTAGGCCCTCTGTTAATTTAAAGTTTCTTCTGACAGGATGTTCCAAACTCTTTGAGGCAGCTCTACATTTTTAAGACTGTTAACAGTGTTTTAATCTGATCTATCCTTAGCTATAGACAGGTGTTTCCATATAGCTGGTCTTTCCTCCTGAGGTTTTCTTGGTTTTGATACTCACATTTTTTACCTGCTATTAAAGTTTCTCCTCTTACTATTAATACGTTTGGAGTTTTCCTGTTTAATTTTTTTGTAATTGTTTCCTGTTTGTTTTTTTTTTAAATATATCTCAAATAATATGCTGAAAAACCTTCTGCAGAGGACAGAGATGCAAAAGTAAGCATCATAAAATCAATGGAATCAAAAAGATTTCTTCAACTTAAAGGCTAAAAAACTGAAAACACAAATATATCTAAGATAATGCAAGTATTTAATTTGCATTCAATGTTGTAAAAATAACATTTTCTGATACATTTTGGAAGGCAATATCACCTCTGTACTCCAAGGCTTGTTATAATTAGCACAACGGAATTTTTGTGTGGTAACAAAACTGTATTCTTCCCAAACTGATTATAGGCATGCATTCCAAGCTACAAAATTGTAACTTATCCATCTTCCAAGTACTTGTGAGTCATCACTGACTTCTTACTCACATTTCCTCAAACACATTCTTTTAGAAGATGTTGAAATTACAGGAAGAATGCAAGCTCTGCAAAAAGTTACAAGAACTTTAAGAAGAAATTTGATTGCGAAGTTATTATATAAAACAAAATACAGCATTTCTAGTGCTTACAGCGGAATCCTGTGCGTCTTCTTCAGAGTTCTGATCTATTACTAAAGTTTCGTGATTTAAAAAACAAGGAGGAATTGCTTATCTACATTATCCTCAAGGATTATTTCAATTATGACACTGTGATGTCTTTTAATGCCATCTTGGACGCCATGGGCTAAACCCATGTAGCAGGAACTGGATGAGACTTGTGCCCTTCTAAAGCAGTTGGAAGCCAAGCAGCATATCCTAAAGCATCTAAAATGGTACAATATACTTATGTGGAAGTAACTGAATCCCACCATGACTTCTTGGTTAGTGTTTTAAAGTAAAGCTATTTTATTTGGAAATAATGGACTTGGATTTCTCAACTGTATTGGAAAATGTTTAAAAAAAAAAAAACATTTTGAGCATGGGATTTCCCATCTTCTAGCACAGGCCTCTCCCTCTGCATATCTGTCTGTCTTTGTTTATGTTTGGCTTGATATTGTGAAGGAAAGACCATTGCAAAACTGGAAAGCGTTTTGGAAGACGATATAACAAAGGAAAAAATAATTTATTTTGCTGCTTCCCCCCCCCCCTCCAAGTTCATTAATTAATTACTGGATTTCTGGATTTATAAAAAAAAAAATAAAAAAAAATCACCCACTACTTATGCTACAAAAACAACAGCTGGACAACAGGTGTCTTACCTCTCTCTGAGTAACAGTTTCCATGATGGTCCCAAAAGCAGGAATTGTTGCAATCCTTACTGAACTACAACAAAAAATAGAGTCTTCAAGATGTATTAAACGGCAAGAATACAATTAATTAAAAATAAAGCAAAATTAAAAAATTAGTACTTTAAGTTACATTAGTTTCTAGCAATGACAAAACAAAAAAAGCAGACCAGGAAAAAGACAGACAGGATTAACTCAAGGTCTCAATCTGAAACTCACAATTCAGGATCACTGGACAAGGTAACAAGGGCTGGAGCAACCCGCTTGTCAACTAAGGCTTCACTCATGCCTCGAAGAGTCAGCTGTAAACCAGTCAACATGCAATAAAAAATGGTTTGGTAAACTTGAAGAACTAGGTTAGCTGTGACTGAGGATGGGCAGGCAGACTCTTGGGGTTTTTCTTGGTTTAGTCACCCACAAAAGACATTAAAACGATTAAGACACTATTCATGCTGTAGCATTTATTAGTAACAACCTGTTAGTGAGATTAGCAAAGCATCCCTCCTTAGCTTGAAAGAAATATCACATCAGAATGTCCAGGAAATTAAGTACTACGGTTGTCTATCAGAAATCAGATACAGACAAAACTATTTTGTATTTCAGTAATGCAGATGATATTTAATTTTGCAGTAGTAAAGCTGATAGCATTACAGAACATACTAATATCCAGCTTTCTGCCAGAAATGATGTAAGCAAATTTCAAAACGGAGAATATGATTAAATATAATAATCCATAAATATTAAATTACCTTGATTTAAGTTTTCTATTTAAAGTTTATTCAGCAGTTTTATCCGGTTTAGCTCTAGGTGTTACAGTAAACCTTCTTATTTAGAAATAAGTGATTTAACAGTTACATTTGTTTAAAAGTAATTCAACTTTTATTCAGCTAGGGTAAGAATCAGAATGGATGGTTATTTCTTCCTAAGTATTAAGAGGGATGCTAGGTATATAAGACAGTCAGGAAACTTACATTTCAGGGTCACTGGAGAGAGTAATGAGAGCAGGAACAACTCTCTGAGCTACCAGAGTTTCATGTACCCCCTTCACCAACAGCTGAATGGTCGGAGCAGGGGGGTATCACAGGTGATGCACGGAAAGAGCGAGCACAGTATCATGGGAAGAAGAACGGCACAACCAAGAGAGAGAAAGAAAAAACACAAAAAGCAAACCAAAATTAGAAGCTAAGCAAATACTGCTACGCTAGTGCTTCATATATGCAAAGGCATGAAGAAAGCTGAAGTGGTCTGGCAATCAGCACAAACCTGACAAGTTCAACAACATGATGATGTTTTCTCTATTTTCAGCAATTTTAAAACTTGAATTCGCAAAAGTTTAGCACGTAATTATGCATTATAATTCAAATACTAATATAGTTGCATATTATAACTATACATATAATGATGTACAATTAAATACTAAAGCGATGCCAATTTGAGTTTGACAGTCTAATTCAAATGCTGTTCCTAACTCAGTGGAATGCTATTCATTACAGTAGGTGGCTGTCACACGCCAAATAGATGTCTTCAGCTAGGCCAAATGCACGTAGTTTTCCCACACTGAGCAGTACCTTTCAGACCTTTTACGATGGTGACGAACAGCACCTTCCCAGATGCCACTAAGCTTTCCTCAAAGTCATTCAAGACTATTTTAGATTTAAACGCCACCCAAGCAACATGTATGCAAAACTGCCCCAAGTTTCCCTTGCTGGTCTATGTAGGTAGAAAATGGAGAATCCTTGGATTATCCATGAAATGTATTTCACCAAGTCTTTTTGCAAACTAAGGAAGAAATAGATTTGTTGCAATACATCCCAAACGTTAAAAACTAAGATCATAGTGAAATTTCATGCCCATAAATGTGGAAATTGTTTGAATTTAGATGTTCCCAGGTGTATTTTTTTTTCGCATTACTTATGTAGCTATACATAAGCATACATTTGCTGCATATGTAGCAGATGCCCTTTACGTGTTTTCTACATGTGAAAAACTACTAATTTTAAAAAATGGCAAGTTCCACTGCATATTCAGAAAACTATTTTTTTTTATCTGAATTAGTAAGAAAGGGAAAGCCTTCATGTTTCCATTTTGTAACTCATGTAAGGAAGTCTGCATATATTTGCTGGTTTTAGGAGATAAACATAAAAAGCTTATCAGTAGTTTCTGTGAGAAATCTGAAATGTCTTTTTAATATTTAGCTATGCTCTAATTACACAAATTACACCACGAACACAAATTAAATCCTAGGCTTTTCCCCCCAGCAGTGTAACAAGAGAACACGTAAGATCTATAGGGCAAGGGGAAAGCAGCAGCTACCAGTATACTATGCAATACTAACAGCAGGCAATAAATATTTTCACCCTCTAACTGGGTCAGATTTTACGTTCTGCTATTTGTTTGAGCATTCCTCCTTTACCAACTCTGAATTCAAACCAAAGTAAATTGTGAAAGATTGGAAGGAACCTGACTTTCCAGAAGCCTTCTATACAAAGCAGTAATCTTTATTAAGCAATATTTGTGTGTGCATGTACGTGCGTGCATGCACGGGTGCATGCATGCACCTAACATATTGTGGCTTTACAGATAATAACTAGAGAAGGAAGAATGAGGTGAGAATTGTTAAGCTGTGTAAGAACGTATATATTATTGCTGCAAAGCATCTCGAGGGGAAAAGCTACAACTTCCTATACTTGTAATTCAGAAAGTATTAGGAATGTTAGTTCAATACTACATTTTAACATTAATACATTTCATGAATATTGACAGTGGCAACAACTTAAAGTGCTCATGTGTTGAGCTTATGGGCTACTCTTCAAAGAATTGTTAAGGACATAGCTCACTGTTTGGCTAAGACAATCTTGCTCTCATACATATATTACCAATTTTCATGTTGATTAAAACAAAGAATGCTTACTATTTTTAATTTGAACAAACATGGACTTGAGTTTTCTTTACTAATTTTAATTTTGAGAAAAGCCTAGAGGTAACGTAGTGCTTTGAGAAGAAAACACTTGGGATTTGTATAATTAGTAAACAATTGAGAATGATCTCAGCTTCACGACTATGTGGGCCGCCACACTTTGAATTACGGTAAAGCATGGTAAACAGCATCCTTCTGTCTTACAGCATATAAAACATAGTTTATAACTCAAGTGTCATTCTGAAGATAAGTGCTCCTAGCCTTAAACCTAAACAGACCAACAAAGCTTATAACTCAACTATGCGCTTCATGTTCAAACCAGCAGCAATCAAATCTGTTTGCATCAACGTTCAAATGGGAAACTACTGACTGAAAACATTAACACAGAAGCAACAGAAACAGCTGGATGGGCAAAGCCGGGTAGCAGCATGTAAGGTTACAGTGAGACAGACAACAGAAAATTTACCCTGTTTTGATTCCTCTAGATCAATGCGTGATCATTACTCATGCATTACTACACCTTAAAAATGGTTGCACAAAGCTTCTTGCCCCCGAGAGGAGAGAAGGGGTAGAATGGCTCCACATCGCTTCTGTGTCCTTCCAATCCTTAAGAGACTGTAAAGGTTTGGTAGGCCCAAATCACAGCAGTCTCTGTGCTGCTCAGAATCTTTATAGTTCTCATATAGCTGCCCTGCAGGCGACATACTCTTTAGCTTATGATCTAATCGCTGGGCTTGGCCATTCAGCAGCCTCTGAGATGTCAGAAATTCCTTGAATGAAGAAGGCATCTTCCAAAAGTCAAATGGACTATTGCCACCTCTTTATGCACGCGACTTCCCAAATTTATGTATTGCCATGTACAAATATGTACGCTATGCTTATCAAGGAAGTGGCAATAAGATACTATTTTCAAGTGAGAAAAGTGTCTGCAACAGAGTTGCCTATGCTCTCATAAAAATTGAAGCATACTAGGGAACAAGGGAGTCAAACAGCGTGTAGGACTGCCAAAAAATAATCAACATTCAGCTGAGTTTTAAAAGAAAATGCAACCAAGACAACAGCTTAGCCAGTTTTGGCTAAACAGTGTTTGGCTAATGCTTATTTAAAAACAAAAAAAAAGCTTATTATTACAAACATAAAATATAAATAACGTTCTTGTTAGATAAAAAAAAAGAAAGAAAAACCTCAAACAACAACTCAAAAATATTTTAAGGTGACCAAAACTTGCCATCTCCTTTTTTAAAGGGAGAAAAAGAAAAAAAAAAGACAAGGTTGGATGTTTTCAACTGAAGTTTCAGGATCTGTCTTAAAGTGGTTGTTTAGTGCTTTTATCTGCAATGACTTGCAGAGTTGCAGTAACAAACACTAATAGAACACTAATGGTTATGCTAAGTGCTCTTTTTTCCAAGGCAGAGCTGAAGTTTGTTTTTGCAAATGGATACAGGGTGGCAGCTAGAGGTCCAACTGCAAAGCTGCCCAAGTGAGTCAAACGTGGAAGAAACGCAAAAAAAAAAAAAAAAAAAAAAAAAAAAGACGACTGTGATAGCGTGATTACAAATCTGTCTTTGTAACATGCAAAAAAATTAACCTCTTTGTTCAGCAAGTGGAGTATGTCCCAGACTTTTTGTATATGCCTTTTTAAATTAACATTTGATGAAACAAAGGCATGATGTGGAAATAAAAGCAAATTTATTAGATAAATGTAATAGTCTTTTCCTGAACAGATTTACAGATGTTAAGGGAAAGATGAAACTGTCACTATGTGGCAAGCAAAGTAACTGTAAATTATTTTAATTTTTACAAAAGATACAAAATTGCTTAAATGTATGTTTCTACCACCATATTTGGCACAAATGAAAACTGGTTTGCATTAGAATGCAAGTGCATGGTAAGAGCATATACAAAAAGCCTGGAAACCGACAACTTGTGAATTAGGCTACTAATGATGTGTTGAATAGCAAAAGCAAATGTTAAAAGTCAGAGAGATGCTTGTTTATGTTCATCTACAGACCTAAGCAAACACATTTGACACTGTGTTTAATTCTGGTTTGAACACATTTTAGCAATGAAATGCGTTTTCATAATTGGAAAATGTTTTTCAGCATGCAATAATCGGAATGCAACAATCAAGTCAGCAGCAGATCAAAGAACACATACGCAGTTACCACGGAAGCATCTTGCAAGTGGCTAATGACAAATTGCTTAATGAAAGATGTGCTGTTGAACAGAGGACAGCTACAGAAACAACTGCACAACGAATTCCTGCTCCATCACACAGTACACAGCTTATTTAAGCCATTTGTAATTTTCAAGAATGTAGCAACATTATCTGAATCACTGTTTGTAAAAATAAACTCTAGTCTTAAAAGGGTGTAAAAAAGTTTGGATAACACTTACCTCAAACATTCTAGCAGCTGTACATCGAACAAGAGCAGAAGTATGGACAACTCCATACCATAAGACAGTTAATAGCAGCTCATGATAAGCTGGGTTTGCACTAAAAGAAAACAGTTGGGCAATCAAAAAAAAAACCACACCCAAAAAACCCCAAACAGACTTCCAAACCCTGAACATGTCAAACACGTCCTTTGCCTACAAAATGTAGTCTCAAGAATCCATTGCTCAACAACTCTAAAACTCCAACCTTTATCCTTTCTGAAGGATACATAACATTTATCTCATTCTGAAGGACAGGCAACATGTTGCTGTCTGGAAAATACGTTGCATTTTGAAGTTCATTTTTTAAAAAAAACGTTAAGAATATAATTGTCAATAAAATATGACACTGAACTGAATGCAAATACATATCTGGAACTCATCATAATAGTATGGAAAATATAAAATTAATTCCCATTTTGTTCTCATTGACTGCTTTTGCAGGTTTTTTGTTTGGTTTTTGGTGTTTCTTTTTTACACTTCAGATTTTTTTTACCACTGCCTTTTTAATCCAGAGTTTAAAAGTTTAAATTTTGTGAAACATCAAGTAAAAAACCCAAATATATCCTTTATTAATCTGAAGCATCAGAGTTATTAAAATTAGAGGCAGATTAGCAGCTTTTAATAAAAACTTCTAATGTATTTAGATCTAGTCAATTCCAAGGTATATTCTTTACCCCAGTTCCACAAAGGAAGCCTTCAGGCTATCAAGAGGAGCATGGGATAGTGAGAGCATGGTCATTACATCTTCTAAGAATCCAACTAAGAGCTTGCGGTCTTCCTCCTGAAAGAAGAGCGTACCATGTTGAATACAGTAAAAGTGTGGTTGTGATGACCTACAGCTATGAAAGGGACAAACTATGAATGAGAAGAAACTAGATTTAGCCTTTAACAATCTTCTTATGAACTTCAAAAGTGAGGTGTAAGAACAAGAACCTTTCAAAGCAAACACAAGAAGAGACTGTATTTCTGTATTTCATCAGCTAAGCACATACACGTGCATAAATCACCCGAATTGTTTTACTAAAGAAACTTTTAAGAAGAGTACTTAAGCACTTTCATGGCTCCTGACAGTTTGTGATTGTTCACAGTCCACTAAACATTTGTGAGATGAAGTAGTTATTTATTTTTTCCTGTAAGCTACATAGATGCCAGTCCATAAATGCTGGTTACTGGATGATAAGGTATTATTACTTATGGAGTGTTTATTTTAGTACTAGATAACACTGAAATGTTAAGACTCCAACTATATCCAAAATGTTGATTCATCTGTTTCAATACATTTTGCAAAATTATATTTGCAGGGGTCACAGTTAAATGGCCAAGAACCTATTTATGGAATAATATTAATATTTTTGATAGAGGCACATGGCAGCTGTCCATGTCCGAGAGTTAGCAATGGTAAAGATACCAGATGTCATTTTCAGATTTATTGAATACAGGTTTTAACACTGATGACTATCGTCTAAATGTAGTAGACAACCTTACTAGAAAACTTTGCTTTTGAATGTGTTTACAGCTGCCCAATTATCTACCTAACTTTGAAGCACAAGAACACTGTAAGTTTTCAACGAAAAGGGGTTTTTGTAGAATAAATTTTGCATATTATTATACATTTAACAAAGAAACAGAAAAACAAACTTACCTGAATGTAACATGTAAGGACCCCTGTTGCATAGATGGGAACTGTGGCTTTTGTTAGCACTCCGTTACCTGCTGTGGAATCTAATGAAACACAGCGAAGAATTTTGGCTTTATATATACATATATGTGGATATATATGTGCAATATATATACACGATATATTTTTTTATATATATGGTAGACTTTTATGTGTGTATTTTAAGTATTATGTACATTCACCTTTTTATATATACATGAAGAATTTAAATACATATATATACATATATACAAGCACACACATGCTAAAATAATCAAGTGATATTTGGATTTGAGATTTTATTTGTAGTTAACACACACAATCTACAACTTCAGAGTGTTCCATTCAGATTAAGATTAGATTTTCAATATTTCAGAAAGATGACAAATTTGAGAACTGCAGTCTGAAGATGTTATTTGAACAAGAGATTAGCAATTTTTTTTCCAGTTGTGGTTAAGATCAATTTTTATTCATTTCAGCAAAAAGCTACTTACCTATGTTTTCCTCAGACAGTCTTAAGATTTCCTGGAACTGTGGTTTTACCTATACAAAGGATGATGAATCCCATGTAAGAAAACCTGTTACCAGCGTCAATTAACTTAGGAAAAAGTTAAGAATAAAAAAACCCCTAGAACAACAGAAAAAGTGCATTTGTGGGGGGGGGTGGGAAGAGAAAAACCTTTGAAAAGCATAGCCAGCTTTTACAAAAATTGAAAGTATGACATAAGAGAGTGAAAAATTCTGTTGAGTACCCACGCTGATATAGCAATATTTATAGCACTCCTGATACCAAAAGTTGAAGCCTCTTGGCAATATGCTTAGTTGGGCCTTTAGGGTTTACAGTCTTACCAAGCTGTATGTAAAAAAACCCAATGTTTTTTGTTTTGTAACTTTGTGGTCCACAAAGTGCTCTCTTCCAAAATAGAGCTGTGATAATCAGTATCAGACCAATTTTATAGAAGCAAGGGTTCTAAAAATAACTTACAGAAGGGCCTTTCAAAGACCAGAGACTGCTTTTAATCTCCTCCCTGGAGGAGCACATAATGCTAACTCTGTTTTGTAATTTTATCTTTAGGTAATCCTCTTGTGTTTTATAATTTCCCTTTAAAATATTTTTAAATTATATTCAGAAGTTATTTTATTGAGAAAAATGATGTATTACCATGATAAAAATGTTTAGATATCACCTGCAGAAAATATTTCAGGCAGGAGAAGCATTAATTTTAAATTTCCAAACAAGTACCATCTGGAGTACTTATGTATGCCACAAACACTGAACAGTATGCTGTTCTGAAGAAAGAAAATTGTTAAATCACTAGAATTAGGATGATCTCTCCCACTCTCTATGCCATTCACAAAACAAATACGAAGAATACAGCTTAAAAGAAAATCCTTCCTTCTTGAGCAAGATGAGGTCATTCCAGAGTGGTCAAAACCAAAAATCAAAAGGATGCAAACAAAGGTTTTAAAATAGTAGGTTTAAATGTATTTATGGAAAAGCATCAGCGTGACATGCAAATACAAATGGTCACATAAAGTGCAGGTATTCAGACACACCGTAAATATGGAGAATATATATTATCAAGGTACTCTTTTTGTAGAATATTTAAGTTAGTATCTTACCTTCGTGTTTGTAAAAATTTTCCCAAATGTCCTACAAAGCCTCCAGAAAAATCTAGAGAACTCATGGACACAGGCAGTTGATGCTACATTGATCTTGCCAACTATTTCTATAAGCTGTGGTAACCTAAAAATCAGGAAACAAAAGGATATTAAACACTACTCTGATCTTTTGTTTCTTTCCAGCTTTTTTTTGTATAAATTTACTGTTTAGATTAATAAATATATATACACACAGCACTATTGGTTCTAATAAAATTATCTACATGTTCTGTACAATTCCTAACCCTTGAAATGTTGACCTATATTTTCAAACATCTGTTACTGCAGAACAGTGTATTTCATGGGATATTCAGAATACAACAATCTTTACTTCAACAGAGAATTGAGTATACTAGTGCAAAGGTGAAAGAAACAATTTTTTGGAGTAAGTAGCTACCTACACGTTCTGCTAGGTATTTTCTGAATGACATCAAAGTCAATTCAGAATAAAAATTAAAATGCCTAAAAAAACCTCAATCTTTTCCTCTCTTTCTAATTCTTAAACACAATCATACTTAAAATTCTTATGTTTAATAATAGTGAAATTGTTAATCATGCTTAAGAACTTAATTATGACACATTTTAAAGTTAGGAATCACAAGATACAAATTAACTCACAGTTGATTGACTACCCATAGCAAAGTCTCCCAGCCTGTGGTACCCTCATGTTCTAGCTGATAGTCATACAGCTGCAACAATACTGCTAATTGTTCACGGCTTCCAATGATGATGGCCACATCCTGAAGAGGCGATACGGGTCGAGGAAATCTAGTGACTGTAACGCAGAGAACAAGCGATCATGAACAAAAGAAGATGAAAATACCTTGGAGGTGATGTCAGTAAAGATAGCTAAGAAACTCTGAAACTCTTTAGTGCCTTCTGTGTAAGGTTATCAAATTGCTTTTTAAAAATCAGTGAGTTAAATCCATCTCTAAAGAGATTACATAACCTTCACTTAAAAAGAGAAAATGCTGGTACAGGGAGATTATGGAATTATTACGGCTTCACCAAATCTTGCCTGACCAACCTGGTGGCCTTCTGTGATGGAGTGACTACATCAGTGAACAAGGGAAGAGCTATGGATGTCATCTATCTGGACTTCTGTAAGGCCTTTGACACAGTCCCCCACAACATACTTCTCTCTAAATGGATTCAATGGATGGACTTTTTGGTGGATAAGGAATTGGCTGGATGGTTTCATCCAGAGTGTAGTGGTCAATTTCTCAATGTCCAGATGGAGATCAGTGATGAGTAGTGCCCCTCAGGGGTCTGTCTTGGGACCAGTGCTGTTTGATATCTTCATCAGTGACACAGACAGTGGGATTGAGCGCACCCTCAGCAAGTTTGCAGATGACACCAAGCTGAGTGGTGTGGTTGACAAGCCTGAGGGATGCAATGCCGTCCAGAGGGACCTGGACAAGCTCAAGAAGTGGGCCCATGTGATCTTCCCACATGTCCAAGTGCAAGGTCCTGCACCTGGTTTGGGGCAACCCACAGTATCAACACAGGGTGGGGGATTAAGTGATTGAGAGCAGCCCTGCCAAGAAGGACATGGGGGTACTGGTGGATCTGAAAACTGGACGTGAACTGGCAAAGTGCGCTTGCAGCCCAGAAAACCTATCCTATATCCTGGGCTGCATCAAAAGAAGCCTGACCAGCAGGTCAAGAGAGGGGATTCTCCCCCTCTGCTCCGCTCTGGTCAGACCCCACCTGGAGTACTGCATCCAGCTCTGGAGTCCTCAGCACAGGAAAGACATGGACCTGTTGGAGCGGGTCCAGAGGAGGGCCACAAAAATGGTCAGAGGGCTGGAGCACCTCTCCTATGAGGACAGGCTGAGAGAGTTGGGGTCATTCAACTTGGAGAAGACAAGGCTCCAGGGAGACCTTATTGCAGCCTTTCAGTACGTAAAGGGGGCTTATAAGAATGATGGGGACAAACTTTCTAGTAGGGCCTTTTGCGACAGGACAAGGGGCAATGGTTTTAAATGAAAAGAGGGTAGATTTAGACTAGGTATAATTTTTTTACAATGAGAGAGGTGAAACACTGGAACAGGTTGCCCAGAGAGGTTGTAGAAGCCCCATCCCTGGAAACATTCAAGGCCAGGTTGGACAGGGCTCTGAGCAACCTGATCCAGTTGAAGATTGCTTATTGCAGGGGGGCTTGGATGAAGATGACCTTTAAAGGTCCCTTCCAACTCAAACCATTCTATGATCCCAAAGAACATGCCACAGATTTACAGTAGAGTGACTTGCAGGCAAGGTTTCCTGACTTCTGTTGCTATACTTAAATCATCTAACTGCTCCAACCTTTATATATGAAGTAGTTTTTGACACTCCTCACTCCTTACCCCAACTGCTTAATTATTTGAATTATCAGAAGATAATAATTTACATGTAAAAAGCAAGACCTCAAAAAAATTCTAGACCATTAAAATATCTGGGGATTGAAAGCCTGCTACACCAACATTGGTGTTATTATTCTCAATTCATGCCAAACATACTTAAAGATTACTCAGCAATAAAGTTAAGCAAAAAGACCATAATGTTTTCTACTGCAAAATTCAAGAAAGCAAGCTTGCAGTTCCTGCAATGCTACTAGGTTAGTGAAAAGTATAAAAGATTTTTTTCCCCCACTTTTGTGGAAGAAGAAACTGTCAGACTAGGCTGAAGCCTGAAATCTTTGAATTCCTTATTTCAGTAGTAGCCACTCAGGGAAAAAGTGCTCATCTTCAAATGACTCAAGTCAGCTGAAATAGTTTTACCATGGCATGTTTAACTTTTTCACATTAATATCTTACAGTAACGTACCACTAGATACTTTCCAAATTCTCTATTAAAGTTATTACCCTTTCTTTGCACTCTCACACACAGCACTATTATCAGCATGTGGCAGGTATGACCAATAATACCTTTAAAAAAAGTATTTGTAACAGAAGAAAATAGTCTACAGGCTAGGACTGCTGATCCAGGAATATTTTCACTATAAGGCCATTCAGTCTGTTAAGATATTACACAGATGCATAACTGATGGTGAAGCTCCTGCACTAGGCTGTATTTTTCCCAATTCAGAAATATTTTTATTTGTAAGAATTAACTGAAACTGAGGCCAGCCTTCTTGAGCTATTATTGGCTATTGGTGGAAATCAAGTCTTCAGAAACCTTTAGGAAGTCCAATTAAGGATTGCTTTGCTTTTTCAAAAGCTTCCTTTAAGAAGTAGAGAGGAAGAATAAGATGAAACAAACCCTTTTTTTTGTGATAATAATTTCTCTCAAGTGTAGAAATGGGTGCAAAAAGGAAGCATTACTTAAGGATTTGCCAAGGAAGACCAATATGAAAAAACACTTCAGATGCAAATCACAGGGCAAAACTGTACATTTTTCCACAATTTGTGTTGTGTATTAGGACAACAAAGTATTTCATTGCAAGACTCATTGTATTACATAAAGCTGTCACTGGGCACAAAGAATTGATTTTGCCTGTAACACCGCTAAGTAAATACAGGGGAAAAAAATATTCACAAGTTACATGTTTCTTCTGCATCAATAAGCTGATATTTGTAATTAGCTAAATATATGATAAGAGTTCATGTCAGACTGATTTCTTTCATAGGAATGAAGTAGGAGCAGAGGGAGGAAAGGAAGTAGAAAGATGTTTTCTCAAAAAGGGAAAAACAGATCACAGGAAAAAAGTCATGACAAGTCACAACACATCTTCCTATGCTGGAATCTGCCTTTAAAAGAAAATAATTCTGTCAACTCAGCAACACTAAAGAAAGAAAATTCACAATCTGACAGAGGTTTCCTGAATTTCTTGTTCTTTACTTGCTATATATGAAAATACAACATAAAGAACAGGTGGATTAGAAAAAAATGCTTGGGGACATAAACGTAAATCATTATTGTACAGACAGTATGCTACAAAAATCTGAAGTTTACACATAGATTCTGCGACTTACGTTTATGTAGTACCTTAAATGCACAGAAAGCCCAAGTTAAGTGTGGACTATGGGCTATTTCCTGAAATTCTTCCTTTGCAGCTAATAGTGATTTGAGATTTGTCACTGAGCTATACTTAAGTTTATAAAAACTCCACATATCAGAAATTATTTACCTTCTATTTGTGGTACTTCTCCCTGAAGCTTAGCCTTGCTTGTGAAAGGTGCGTTCTGTAGCACCAGTGCAAACAGTGAAGGAATCAATGACTGCAGAGCAGATAGATACATGTGGAGCTTATGTTCATCCAAGCCATGTTCTCCTTCCTGGAATAAACAGGACACTTACTTAAAAAGTTTTCAGTTTGGATGATCCATTGCTTATGCATGTATTCCTTGGCAAGATATCAACACATCTGTGATGAGCTTCTACACAGACACACTAATTATGTAGTAATTTATCATAACCACAAGCTTACTTTGTGTCACCATCCAAATCCCCTTGTCATCCTTAAGTCACTTTTACTCAAAAGATTCAAGCAACATAGCCTTTGGCATTTAGTAGTTCATGTTGATGAACATACTGATATTCTGAAAGAACATTTTTGAGCACATTTTGGAAGTGGGAATCCTTCGTTCTCAGAGACCAATGCATCTAAAAACTGAATAAACTAGTTACCTGTACTCTGAAAACAAGCATCCTGGTTAAGCGTGTTAGATCATTATGAGACACCCTATTTTCCAGAACTTTCCAGATATCTAACAAATCAAGTGTGCAGACAAACTGGCTTATAATTACAAATGACCTAAGTAAACCATTCAATTCCACTAATTTTTTTTGTTTAATAATACTGTACATTACTAAAAACTACGGCATGTGACACTTAAAAACAATTTAAATATAGAGCAAATGTACTCAGAATAACACATATCATCTGATCACAGCCCCAGCCAAGCGTTTTCTGAACTGCACTTTGATTATTGGGCTATAAAGAAAAACATAGTTAAAGAAGAATATGTTTGGGTTTTTGGGTTTTGTTGTTGGCATTTTTTTCCTTCTTCCAAAGGACAAGTAAAAGTTATGGAGTTACAACAAGAATATCCAGAACATTTTTCCCTTATAGAACAATAAGTAGCAATTATTTACATTTTTTTATTTTGAAAAAAAGCCTGCATATGTAATAAAGATACGAAGAAAATTCTCCAGTGCAGAAACAGCTGAACACATACCCTGAGCAATTTTTCAATTTTATTGAGCAGTGTAGGTATAAGATGGAACTGTAAATTTCCCAGTTCTGTTGTCCAGGCAGCATAAGCAGGTAAAAATACCTGATGTGTTGCACTAACTACACGTTCTGAAGGATCTCCTAATGCTGAAAGCAGCAGTTCAAAGCCCTGGAAAAAGACAATAAAGAATGTAGTTATTTTCCTAAAATTTATGCTGAAGTTTCCCACACAAAACATGCAGACTAGAAAAATATTATCATCTATCTTTAAAAGTTGACACTAATAAAAATAAAACAAGGTAGCACATAGAGGCCTTTCAACATATATTCTCACCACATCGACAAAGGTGAACAGTAGGTGGTTCAATGATTGTGCTATTATATCTCTGCAGTCCAGGTATCAGAATCAATAGAGACACATTTTACCATTCTGCCTTCAAAAACTCAAAGACAGGATTAGTTGTTCTTAATTTTCGCTTACCTGAAACATTATTAGGCAATATTAAGTTGAACTACAAGTAGGCTTTGTTGTAGTAGACAAATCTCTGTTAGTGAGTGATGATATCAGATTGGTTAATAGTACCACAGGTAGGCAATTAAGTGGTATGTTCTTGAAGGCAAATTATGAATTAGAAAAGCTTCTGTATCAGGTTTATGCCTGAAGTCCTAATGATACTTGTAAGTACATGCTTTCTTTCTGGTCTCGGCGATAGAATAAAATTCACAGAAACTATCAAAATTTTTAAAAATATCTGGAAAGATTTAATAAAAATACATGCATCCCCCTATTCATGAAATAGCGATAGAAGACATTTTATACATGCAGAACCCAAACCAAATTATACCTGTTGATATTTGTCTGGGTCATCGATATATCCCATAATGATGCCAAGGCTTTTGATCACAGCTTCTCGTACCAGATCTGCCTTATCTTCCATTAGCATTTGCTGCAGCATGGAAAGTACTAAGGAACTACGAATTTCTTTCTGTTTGTGAACAAGAAATACACTTGTTAAATCCAATGAAACAAGAAATGCAGGTTTGTATCCATTTTCATAAATAATGTGAACTTCTATTAGTGCTCACAAAAAAAAAATCCCTTCCATACGGATCCACAGATCCCTTTATGAATATTACACACTCAGTTTTCACAACAGAATATGAATGAAAATGTCCTACTAAGCACAGAACTCAGGTCCTTTAAGTCATATGGAACCAAAAATAAATAACAGCAAAAAACTACTATAGGCCTAGACTTAAATCAGAATCTTTAATCACTCCATCACTAAATTGGAGAAGTGGGTTTTTAATTTGCATTGTTTTCCTCTTTCTCTGAAGCTTCAAATTCCATTTTGCTACTGACTTAATTTTGCTGCTTCTTCTGACTGGCAGCACTGTTCATGTAACATCTCACAGCATCTGAAGAACTCTATTACTAGGTGCCAATTATTTTTCAGAGATTATTTCCTTAATTGGTCCTAACTATCTTTACTTCATCTTTACTAAAAAAAAAGATGATTTTTTTTCAGAACATACTGTTTAAAAACCACATTTTATAGCTAGACTGACCTGTATTCCTTTATAATAAGCTATCTCCTCAATGTGATTTATGGAAAGTCACATGTGATAAAAAGAAGACAAGATGACTGTCTATACATAGCACACACACTTGGGAATATTTAAAATTATAATGGATATTTACATTATGCAATAGGTTATCACCTTGCTTTCACAAGCAAAGTATTTAGAGTCAGTATTAATACTTACTGGAAGGTAAGGTGCTAGAGCACCACAGGATTCTGCTACCAGTAGCCGTCTCTCTGGGTATTTGTGGTTGATCTGGTAAAGAGAAACAGAATAGCTATTTGCTTTGTAGTAACCAGTATTCAAAATGTGGTTAGAATGAACTGCAACAGAGGGATATGTCTGCACCTCTTAGATAAACATTGGCTGTGCCTACAGAAGTTGCATATGGGTACTAAGCAGCCTCAAATTCTTGCACTGAGGCATAAAGGCAAGGCAGATACAGCATTCTCTAGTCATCCTATAAAATAGAGCTTATAGTAAGAGAAGAATTGGAGAAGCATGTATGTATAGGCAGTAAAAAGAAAGGTGGAAAGCAGTGTAGGGGATGCTCTAAAGAATATGAATAACTTCTGAGCTGGCGTGTCATGAAATATTTTGTCTTGTGTGGCCCTTCAGGACAGCCGTTCCTCTAAGAACTACACAAGTGCCCTCTAGTGCTCCAAGCCAACCAGTGTAGCATAGCTGCCCTAGGTCTTGCTGAGCAATTGGGGTCAAAAGACGACACACGTACTAAGCCAAAAAATACTTGCATGCTATTGAAGTTCTGCTCTCAAGTCCAGCATAAACATGTCATGCCTCTAAAATGTGACTGAAAACAGAGGTTCCCAAGAACCTCTTGATCCTGTGCTACCTCCCCATTTCCACTCAAAGCCATTTGGAAAATTCTGCCTTACAAATTTAATACTGACACTTCAGAAGCAAGTTTGCATCCTGGTGGAGTCAGCTTTAACAACCAGTGTAATGGTTGTATAATGAAACACATTATATGTTTCAATGTACTTTGTGAATAAAAAAAAAGTACGGTAAAATGGTGAGATAGGAATATGCATGTGGTGCAACTCTTTCTTTCTCTCTTACTATGCAGCATATGGTCTTGGTAAGACAACCATCTTACCATGGAAAAACCCAAGGTACTCACCACCTTTTTTATCTCTGTCTTTACTGGGAAGACTTGCCTTCAATAGTCAGAGGTCCCTAAAACCCATGTGGAAGACTGGAGCAAGGAAGACTTACCTTTGGTAGAGAATTATCAAGTTAGGAAACATTTAAACAAATTGGACATACACTAGTCTGTGGGCCCTGATGGGGATGCACCCATGGGTGCCAAGGGAGCTGGCTAATTTCACTACAAGACCTCTCTGGACAATCAATGAAATGCTGTGGCAATGGGGGAGGTTCTTGAGGACTGGAAGAAAGCAAATGTCACTACTATCTTTGGGAAGGGCAAGACAGAGGATCCAGTAAAACACAGGCCAGTCTGCCTCATCAGTCGTCAGGCTGCCATCAATTCCTGGAAAGGCTGGAGCAATTAATCCTGGAAAGCATTTCCAAACACACAAAAGACAAGAAGGTGGCTGGGAATAGTCAGCCTGTATTTATGTAGGAAAAACCACGCATGACCAACCTGATAGCTTTCCAAGATGACTGGCTTGGTGAACAAAGGGAGAGCAGTGAATATTGTTTATTTTGACTTCAGCAAGACTTTTGGTATTGTTTCCCTACGTGAGGTGAGGTGGACTGAAAACTGGCTGAACTAATCACAGGCTCAAAAAGTTGCAGCTGGGGGCCAGTCCGGAGTGGTGCACCCCAAGGGTTGAGTCTGGGGCCAACAATGAAGATGTATAACGTTCATTAATGACCTGGGTGACAAGACAGAATGCACCTCAACAGGTATGCAGATGACACAAAACTAGAAGGAGAGGTTGATATATCCTGAGGGGTATATTACCATTCAGAGGCACCTCAACAGGCTGGAGAAACAGGCTGACAGGACCCATAGGAAGTTCAAAGTCCTGAACCTGAGCAGAAATAATTCCCATGCACCAGGACAGACTGGGGACAAACTGGCTGGAAAGCAGCTTAGCAGAGAAGGGGAGGGCCTGACAGATGCCAAGCAGAGCCAGCAATGTACTCCTTGCAGCAAGGAAGACCAATGGTATCCCGGGCAGCACTATGATAAGCATCACCAGCAGGTAAGGAAAGTAATTATCCCCCTTTACTCAGCACTGGTGAGACCACATCTGGAGTGCTATGTACAGTTCTGGGTTTCCCAACTACAAAGAGCAAGTCCAGAGGACAGACATGAAGATGATTAAGAGAAAGGAGTATCCAACATATGGGGGGAGGCTGAAAGAGCTGGAATTGTTTAGTCTTGAGAAGAGAGAGCTCAGGAGGGATCTTATCCATATGTATAAATATCTGTACCTAAGTGCAGAGAGGTAGAGAACACAGAGGTGCCCAATGAAAGGAAAAGAGGAAATTAAATAACAAGATATTCTATTTTACTAGGAGAGTGGCCTAACCTTGGAACATGTTGCCTAGAGATGTTACAGAGCCTTCATCCTCAGACATATTCAAAAACAGACTGGACTTGGTCTTGAGCAACCTGCTCTAGTTGACTTGCTTTAAGCAGGGGCCTTGGAATACAAGATGTTCAAAGCTCCCTTCCAACCTCAGTCATTCTGTGATTTTGTCAATTCTACTGGATTAGGAACAACTACACATGAAGACATAGTAGTATATATCAACTTTGGACAACATCATCTTGACTTCCACAGCACACTGAACAATGGTACCTGACCACTCATGTAGTATTAATGTCTTCAACTTCCTCACTGTTCTGATCTGAAATCACCAAGAACTCTTTCAAGAATGAAGTATGGCAAAGATCATTTGAAAGAGACTCAAATGAACAAATCATGAGCCTCGGGACTAAACTGAAATCTGAGTGTGTCTATCATTACTTTGCATTCATTCACCAGTAGGGCACCTGTAATTTTTTTGGAAGCATCGAGATTTCATAGATGAGAAACATTATGGACTGCTCTAATAACTATAGTATCTTTGACTTATGTGCCATCATTCCAAATGAAAATTCCCTACTGGCAACAGGGATACACTTTGCCTTCTGGAGCTCTGCCTACCTGAGGGAAACAGCAAAGATTAGTTTCAACTGGTTTAGGTGGACTGGCAAGGAAATGTAAATATCACCCCTGATATTGCAAAGACATACTGACACACTGGAGGTAAAAAAGACTCAAATTTCTGCAAGGTTTGTGTTCAGGGAACATTCTTAGCCCTTGGAAACTTACACATAACTGTAAAATGTTTATTACCATTTCTTTTCCTTTTGTCATTCATATGTAGTAGTACAGTTTTGGAAGCAATTAACTAGTCACTAGTTATAAGGGAACTTTAAGCATTCACAGAGCCTTGATCTAAACTCATCTGAGCCAGCTACCAAATTCTGTCTGTGAAGAGCAGGTAGAAATATCAGAAAGACTAGCCTGATAACTGAGCTCCAGAACGCGTGGATGAAAATGCTGAATCTTCTGAGGGCCCAGGCCTTTGCATCTCTAACTAGATTTTGGTTGGAGGCCAACTGCATAAATGCAGATTAAAGCATCTACTGAGAAAAGGTAGAAAATCATGTGTATTTTTGAATTCCTTTCACAAACCCAGTCTTGTGACAATGAGATTCAGCTGGTATTTTGCCGGAGAAAATAATGACCTGGTTTCAGTACTACAAATGAAGTCTGGCAAACTGCATTAAAGAAATGCATGATGACATATGGCTTGGCAGCCTGATACGCTGTACTGTTACAGTTGGACTGGTTTCTCCTTTGCATCAGCAATTAGCAAGAAACTGGTTTGAAGATGTGCTCTTACTGAGGTGAAACTTTTTTTAAAACGCTGTTTAAATTTTGTGAGAAGGACTAAGAAAACAAAATGTGGTTTATTTTATGTTCGACTACTACTGCCACGAGTCCTTCAGATACATCAGTCATACATACAAGCACAAAAGCTGCATATAATACGTACTTCTACTTTCAGAAAGCATTAAGACTATTAAAGCTTGGAAATTATTGTGAAACACAGATTGCTGTGTTATGCAAGAAACAGTAGACAATTATCAGACCAGAAAGACTGTGCCATCAATGCAATCATTACCACTCTGTCATGGCTGTTATTCACTCTCTTTTAGGCAATGATGAACTCCCTTTCTTCATTATGGTATGAAAATACCACGCATTTTCACCCGGACTCATTTCACCCTGTTTCTATGTCTCAGATGAAACAGTAAGAGCATTTCAGTTTGGCTGTTATTTCTGTTATTAACTAATTTTCCAGCATAAAGCACAAAATAATCAGTTACCTGTTCCCAACACTGTGGTAAAAGCTCAGCTTCTACACGTGTTGGTCCAACGTGTCGGGCAAATGCCACACACCCAGTCAGTATCATCTGCCTGAAAACATAAGTTAAAAAGCTTTAATCTGTTTATAAAGTAAAGTTCTATAATACATAGAATATATTCTTTAAGTTAGGAAAAGCAGATGCTGTCAGGCAACAAGTAACTGTCCACAGTCAAAATTTCACACCATGCATGCTGACCTAAAGGCTGAATCTTGAATTCAAAGCCGCTATTGTCCCTGTTCATTGAGGGGGGTGTGGACAAGATGACCTTTAAAGGTCCCTTCTAACCCCAACTATTCTATGAGTCTATCTTGTTTTCTATTTAACATGCCTTTTCCAGAAACTTGCAGATCCCAAACTCCATGAACCAGAACCTGAGAATCTCTGGTTTGGGAATCTCCGATTTCCTAATGTCCAAGGTTGGGAATCTGACTAAGCGTCTCATTTAATTCTTATTACTGAATACTATGATTCATCATGCAGTAAAAGGATCTAAATTACTTAATACTATCATACTCTCAGTATTTTAGTCAAGTATGCATACTGCTTTTATTTAGAAGCATTTGTGAGAGTCAATGAACTTTGTTCAAAACAAGAAACTTAATTCTTTTAAGACATGGTTTTGCAACATTCCAACATGCAATTTACTGTCATGTCTCCCGAACTACTGGACTTTACTCTTGTCAGAAATCTTCTAAAGCCCATTATAAAAGGGAAGCAATTAATCAATCAGTAGTATCTATGATCACCTCAGCAATTTGTATCTATATTTTTGCATTTTTTAATTTTCCTCAAAGTTTGTAAGAAATCATGTTGTTCCATCAATTTCATAGGCTCATAGACATATTTAAGTACAATTTAATTGAAATTTTAACTGTCATTTGTGATATTTTAACTTGTATTTAATGAGTGTTTATCTTGCTAAGATTTTTTACTTCTAACTTTTTCTCCTGTTAATAGGATTGGAATGATACCAACTTTTCATGCAATTCACCAGTTCTATTTACTTTTACTGCCTACATCAACACTTAAATAACCAGTTTCAAATAGTAACATGTGGACACGAGAGACTCATTTATCACCTCCACAGTAAGATTAGGACACCACTGAGAATTTGTTCATTATTACTTTGTGGAAAGTAAGCCAGAATTAATTTGTTACCATTTTAGAGTCATGTCTAAACTCCTAAATATTTACTGCAGCTAATAGTATGCCCTTAAGGTTGAAAGGCAGAGATTCTGCTGGTTATTTCTTAACTAGTTATACAAAATAGTCCATTAAAAAAAAAAAAAAAGAAAAAAAAAAAGAAAAGACTCATTCACTTTCAGAATTTTTTCTAAGGAGAAATAGTCTATTACATTCTTTAGGCCAACAATCACAGCAAGCTCTTTGGTTTTGTTTTTTTGTGGTTTATTGGTTGGTTTTGGTTTTTTTTTTTTTCCTTTTTCCCCTCTACCACATACAGAGAAACAGACCTTTGATCAAGGTAAAAAGGTTGGGGGAAAACAAGAATGCAACGATTAGATAAGAGTCAAGAAATCAACAGCTGATATGTGATAGCAATATAGAGACAAAAGCCTGTGGTAATTCAGAGTTCTACAACAAACAAGATAGTTATTCAAATCCATGTCTTTGGTTCTACATGCTGAACTGGGCAATAGAATATACTTTTACAAGATACTAAAAAAGCAAATAGCAGAAATAATTGCTTGAAATCTTAAAATCAAAATTTTATTTTTATCAAACCTTTTCAAAAAGGTTCCATGAAACCTCAAAATTAACTCATATTTCCTTCTGCTGTGCCTAGAAAGTAGGGAACTTTAATATATTCCAAAAATACTAAAAAATAACATTTTAAATATTTTACTGTAACCATCTTAGAAGTATATTACAACAGTCAGTGTTTTAGGGGAAGGAAAGGTTGTAAGGATCTCAACAACAGTCATTGAAACAGAAAGTGTTAACACTAAGCTGCTGCAAAATTGCAGTCTAGGCTGGATATGGGAAAACCTTTCTACTTATTGTCACAATGATCTCTTTTGCTAACAAGATGCTGGGAATGCGTTCCTCAGATAGCTCTCTCCAGGTTATGCACTTACGATCACTTAGGCAAGAACATAAAGCAAATCAGTATGGTTCAGTATGATTCAGCAGAGCACTAGTTTGCTTCACCAGTACAGAAACCAAAGTGAAATCAAGAACCAGGCTAGAGGAACTAGGCAGATGTTAGAGTAGAACAGACACAATTTAGCACTTACAAACTCTTTCTAGAGGTGACTGCATGCACTGGTAAGCAATTAAATCTTATATCACACAGTTCAAAGTTCTTCTGTCACTCCTAAATGTTAAATTAAAAACTTATTTACTGGAGCTTTCCTTAACATGTCAGCAAGTTACATGTGTTCTGTAAAAGGTGGTATCATATGACTAAAAGTCATAAGAGATGCACTAAGCTTACTGGTTTTTAGCTTATTTTCACAAAGAGTGCTGCTTCTGGGCACGTTACTTGGAAATCTTCAAGAGTTCACATTTTGAACTGTTTTAACCTTGTCCTAAAAGACTCCAACATTAATCTGACTTCTTTGTGGCTCCTTAGCTTCCAAAACCAACATAATTGTCCAATAAGAAGTTTAAGAAATTAGAAATTTTGAAAAGTTGTATAGTACATTAAGGAGCAGGGCCTTGAGGATAAATGTGGCCTTGTTAAATACAATGTTAGTATACAAGATTATGGAAATATGCTATATCTGCATACACCAAAAAGCCTCTCACATGGGCAAAAAGTATAACACAGGCTTTCCGAATTATTGTTGACATACTTTACAAGGTCAAACACTTAAAGTAAAATACTTGTTTTAATGGGTTCATTATTAGAAATGCAATGTCACATTTCAGTCTCTTGCATTTAACAAAGTAAAAAAGTCAACTTTTTATCAGCTGCTACCTTAATGTATAATGTAGGCCTGAACAGTATAGCAGAAGGTAAACAAATAACATATGAGGTAATTAATACCATTGTTCTGGTAACTAAACCTGAATGTCTTTGCTTACTGCATATCATATAAGACTGCTAAAACATTAAACTTATTTAGATAAAACCAAGCATGTATAATATACTTCCATACAAATATATAAGTAGAAAAACCAGACTGAAACTCTGAATAAGTATTTTCTATCTAATTTGTATTCAGAATCTCTTATTTGATGGAATTTTACTTATTCTTCAGTCAGGCGTTATGGCACCTTTAAAACAGATTATGATTTTTATGTGTGTGAAATGTGTATTATGTATATCCATGTTTTGTCCTGGAGGTTATGGCAGAATATTCTTCCCAAATTTCTGTTGAAAAATCTTATTTTTAGATACAAACATCTAACTCACAACAAAGAATGAACAACTTCAAGGGAAAAGAAGCTTGGATTTTCTTCTTAGCTGCTGGAAAAGACACACCTGCAGCTAAACAGGCATATGAAAAAATCTACTTGATAGGCCACCAATCCTGTGACAAATTAACTACAAGAGACTACAAGCAAGATGTAACTTCCCCCCTCAACCACAGAATAATTTTAGCTTTTTAATCTGCATGGGACATTCAAAACATTTTGGATAACAGTAGACATTTCAGAAGCAGATTTCTAACGAATCTGAAGTAGAACAAGGACACTTCTTTTTGTAATTTCAATCTGCATGGTGCCACTGTGCTACAAGTTGCTTTTACTTATTTATGCATTTTTTTGACTCCAAAGCCATCTCTTTCAATTGTACCTCATCTCTAAATTTTACCATGGGAACAATTTAGAAAGACACTAGAACACTTCAGTTTCAGCAAATCTTTAAAAGAAATGCTTTCCACCTATTTTATAAAGCCTAATTTGTCTGAAGACAGAATAGAGCAATGATAGATACAGATGTTTTACAAAACATCTCTAATGAAATCATGGAAGAATTGCAGATCAAATATGAAAATTTTCCACATTTAGAGGAGGAAACATACCAGCTAAGGTACTGTCTTTCAACCTTAAGGATATTCTTACCAAAATCAGTGCAAAGCCAGATTTCCTGAGTACTAAGAAAGATCTACAGTTACAAAAACAAAATAAAAAGTATACTTTGTTTCAAAGTCTTAACCAAAATAAAACAAAGCTCTTAACACTTGTCAGAACTAAATCACTGCTTCATTCTTCTGAAGTTTTTATTGCTACCACAGTATTGAACCATAAGTAGGAAGAGTACTATTTTCTCATTCTGTTTTCCCCAGCTAAACATGGTAGTTAACTTACAAACATATAGATCCCCAAGATAAACTAAGAGGTTTAAAAAAGCTGTTTTGATTTCTATATCAACCGTTACTAAGAATTATGATTTAAAGCTCATTTTAACAAAGCATTTCAGTTCATCTTCAAACAAGAAAGGAACTGAAACGTTACACAGCAGCTTACCAAGCGCATTCTTACATTTCAGTAACTAGAAAGTACAAGTCATGGAAATGGAAAGTCCCAAACTCTACATGAATTTGTCAATACTACATCAGCAAAATATCAGCTTAAGTGAAACTTGGTTAAAATCACCCAATAATATCCAGTTTCTATTAGTTCTGCTTCTTTGACAAAGAAAAAAGTTCCTTCTTGTCCCGCAACACAAACGCAAACACACCTTTGCTCATCATCTGGTCGTTTGATCAAATTGAACAGTATGTGTAGAAGCTGATCTCTCTCTTTGGGTTCAGGATGGAGGCAGGCTGTACACAGTATGAGTGGGATCAATTCCTAAAGAGTTGTGGGCAGGGGAAAACCAAACAAAGTAAAAACGCTTTGGGCATATATTCATTAATGGCAAAAGAAACTAAGAAGATAAATCTAGCCATGTAACAACAAAACAGTTAGAGAAGATGTTTTAGAATCTTGATCTCTTATTAAGTGACCTGAAAAATGCGAAGGTCTACAGAAGTTAGAATTATTTTCCTGCTAGGAAAGATCAGGGGAGAACCAGCACACAAAATAAAAAGCTCTGCAAAGATTACAATTAACATATGCAGGTCACCTGTAACCAGAATTAGAGGACAATCATGGTTTAAATTGTCTTCACTACCTACTGAACTGAAGCAAGCTCTACAGACATCCGTGGAACAGAGCTCCTATGGAAAAAGCTATTTCTGATGCCATGGAGGTAAAGATTAAAATGTCCAATTAAGCATGCACAGAGTTTTGTGCACAAGTTTGAATAAGCACTGAGAAACATATGTTGGTAAAGGTGACAGCAGACAGATACCCTCTATTTTGACTGAGAACTATGTGATTTTTTTTTTTTAAATGTTTGTTAGGTTTTTTTCAATAAAGAGGCAATATCTGAAGCTGAATTTTCTTTTTAGAGCAATTCAATTCCCTTAAGGAACAAACTACCAAGAAAACACTGGGTAAAACATTAACGGAAAGAAAATATAAGGCTGTTCACAATAGTGAAGACCTCCTTTCTAAACATGCCTTCAAAGCTCATGGTATTCATTCCCAGAAAAAACAAATGTTTCTAAAACATGGACTGGAAGTCCCTTTCCTTGACCATGTTGACGTGAGCCTTTACTCCAACTGTATTTGGAAGCCACACAATTTCTAGGTTATTTAATATCTTACGGACAGAAACATCACACTGGGAGGTCAGGGGAAAAGAATAAGACAAACCTAGGTGTCTGCAGAGAAAATATGGGCAAGTAATCTGGAGGCTTCCTCTCCCACCTGCTGCTTATTTTTGAGCCACTTTCAGCAGACAAACTTCTTATGAATTAATAAGCTGTGACAAACAAGCAGACGACAGTGGGAAACACTTCTGAAGTTACTAGGGAAGATTACACAAACCTTGGAATTATCTACAGATATTTGTAATAACTTTGCAGGGAGGTGCCAATTTCTTCTTGCAGACATTCAAAGTGACCTATTCATGATGCTCTTGAGAATAAGCCTATTAAACATGGTGGACATGTGGAAACAACATTACAGACACCCTCACTGCGCAGCTTGTATTTTCCTAAACAGCAAGTGCTATGTTTATTGTAAACATAGAACAATATTTTAGAGCACTGCCTAAGCTAGTCAACTCCTGATAAGCTTTTGTTTTCATTTTACAAGAATTCTACTCAGCATGCTATTTTTCCCCCCTGAAGATGACAGAGACACATCCTAAAATGTATTTTAACATGCCGGAAGACATTTTGGCAATATTTAACTCAATTATGGTACAGATTAGGGAATTTATGATGAGACGGAGGAATGAATATGGAAATATCCTACCCACTGCTTAGAAAATCTGAAAGTACAGAGGGAAAAATGAGAAATAGATTTGAACAATTTGGGCATTTCTATTTCTCAATATTTTCAAGTGAGCCAGTTTTGAGGTTTGTTTTTAAATAAGTGTAGCACAATGCAAAATAATACGAACTGAAAACCTGTATTAAAGAAACGTTACAAATTACATTGCACCAAGAGCTAAATAACTTCTAGAGGGAAAGGAGCTTTCAGCTGAATTTACATGTTAGATTTTATTTTTTGTATACTTAGCATTCAGTTTTTGCCCATTTAAAGTTCTGAGAAGGCAGGGGGCTTAACCTATTTAACTTTTTTTTTGTACTTCACAGGAGTATTCTCTCCTGCAAACACTGTTTTAACTCAAAAAGATTTCAAAAAATATTATAAAAATAAAAAAACCCTGCCACTCTAAATACCACTACTTATACATTAAGCCAAGATCTTTTGAAGAGGAAGCCAGATTGCAATTTGTAGATACACAACATAATTACGAACTTCACCATGGTAAAACCTTTAAATAAAGAAAAAACCCTGTGTTACTTTACTGAGATCTTACTTCCTGAAATCTACCTTAAGTTTACATTATCCAACTGCTCTTGCAATTATTTGTAGGTATTCTTATGAAGAATTTTTTAAAAAAGAATATACTTCATGAAACGGGACATGCAGATTTTTTATGATCTGGGGTTTTTATCTGTTGAAACCATCACACTGACTTCACATTATTAGTATGTTTGAGTACCTACTGAAAAAAATCTCAACTGCTCACTGAGAACTACTGCTAGATTTCAAAACAGTGCCATCATGAGCCCTACTTTTATTTTTTTAAAGCTTCTTTTAATTTCAAATTTAAGGAAGTTAACAAAGTTGTATTTTTCCAGCTGAGTCTGCATGAAAGGAAAACACCTCCGAATATTCACCTAGACACTACCACCTTGTGTGCGAAAGGCTAATGAGTAACCTAACACCATTGACATGGGGCAGATACAAGGCTGGTTCTTTACCTTGCAGAAAGCTGGTTATTACAGCTGATGGAATTAGCTGTATTTTCTTGTCCATTGGTCACATTCTTTCATGCATACTATGGGAGAAGAGAGTGTTCTCTGCATCGCTGCATCAGTGCTTCTACAGTTCCTTCTATTAAGGGGAGTGGAGAAACAATGAGAAGTCTTGCACAGCGTTTTATGTGATCCCTACAGACTTGATGGACAGGAAGGTAAAACTGGAGGCGAAAGGACTTTCTGCGGGACAAGAACAACAAAACTGCTCTCATAGATGGACAAAACAGGTCAAGTGAAGTCTCCCAAAGACTTAAAAGGGGACAGATTCTTCTCGGGATGTTCAGGATTATTAAGAACAAAAACCAACCTACAGACAGGTTTGAGCTCATTCCTTCCTGTTGCCAAGAGCCATGCCTTAGATATATTCTTGTTTAATAAATCTCAGATTTTTCATTCTCAAAAACATCAGAGAAGTGCTGTAGAAAGCAGTAATTTTCCAGTAAGACAATAATATTAGCATTTGGCTGTTTAAATTCAAGGGGAAAGTTCATAGCATGGCTATGGAGACTGTATATAAATTTATTGATAATCAAGGAGAGGACTTCCAGTGCTATTTGGAACACTCTGCCTTCCTTGGGAAGGAATACCACTTGCGCTGAGAGTCATAAAGCAAGAACATCAGTTTAAAAAAACCCAAAACATCCCTCTCTCTATTTAATTTGGGATCCTTCCTAAGTCCCTCTTTTCCCTTTTGCCTCTGACTTAGGAAAACTGATTGGTTCACACTGGTGTTAAGTCAACAATACCATGAGTGACTTTCAGAACTGTGATACTGTTTTCCCGTTAGACACCAAGCAGAACACCATTATAGCACTTGCAACTTGATGAAATAAAACATCATGTGTCAGAGGTCTCACCTCCACTACTGAAAAGGCAAGTTCGTATCTGAAGCAGTTGATATCTGTGAGCTACCCAGATGCAGAACAGAGAGAAACAGTTTCTTTGATTTTACTGTTAAATAAGCTACATACAGATGAATGATGGACAAGGCTGTGAAGCTGACCTAAAGCATTGCACAGGAGAACTGAAAACAGCCCATTTTCTCTCTGTTCTACTTCTGCATAACTGTCCACATAGGTCTCTCCAGAAGAAAACCTTACATTTTTTTCACTATAGTACCTTTGGACACCCTCTCCCTAACTTGTAACAGCACGCCTGTTACCTTTGAACAGGATTCACTGTTCAAGCTGATTCAAGTTCCCAATAAAGACAACATTCACGTGGGTATATGGAGTAGCTCTTCATTATGGTCAAAAGAGGGTGGCTTTTTAATGGCAACTGGTATCACCTCAACTATAAGCAAAACAGTTCCTCCTACATATTGAAAGTATTAAAACAAAGTATTAAAGTTTGGGGTTTTTTTTAAATGCATCCTATAGCAAGCATTTGTCTATTTTGCTGGCAATCTTCTTCCAAGGTAGCAAGGAATTTGGTTCCCTTCATTGTAATTTTTTTTTGTTTAAGATTCTAACAAAAGTCTTCTATGTCTTAGTTTCTCTCGTTAATTAGTGCCTTTTTGTTGGAGTGTTCTTAAGCAAAATAATTGTCACAAAGAATAAATTTAATTAGTGTTAAGTGTCAAGACTGGTTACTTCAGTAGCTTAGGATAGTCATCATCCTTATTATTTCAAATATTAATGTAATAATGTGGCAAACAGGTGACAACATAATATATAAACCAGAATGACTTTATGATTGATTTTGTAAATGTGTCCCTTTAAATCTTCTCTAATAGTCAATGCTTATATTGTGAACCAATGCTATGTTAAAATTCTTCTGTAACTTAGCCTCTGACAACCAGTAAATAAAATAATCTTACCTGCAGCAACTGAAATAGCTGCAGGTACTAACAAATTACTAATACAGAGTCTCTTGCGCAAGAATGTATTCCAAGTTCAGAATTCATCCGTTTAGTTTTAAAATTAAAAAAAAATTTAATCATAGGATTAATACATGACTCAGAACTTTGTGCTACTAATCTTATTAATATTAAAGTTACAACTCTAATTACATTTCACAGGATGAGACTATTATTCCAGAATCCAAATGAAGCCTCTCATAGATCCCAAAGGAATGCTTTTACATAAGAAACAAGGCAGATGTGGGTGTGAAAAGACTTTGTACTTCTTTGTTTATATCTACTGTTTATTTGGAAACCTGCATATAAAAGTACTGTGATAAAGCTACTAACAACCGGCAATTTTATTCATAAACATTAATTCAACTCCTTGTATCCATGAATTATGTTTAAAGACATGGTGTTGAAAGACATCAGCTTTTGGACTAGAGATGAAAAGGATTGAGCTATTTCATTCTAAGGAAACGTCTAAGAAAACTTCTAAGAAAACTACACTAGCCCCTCATATTCAGAGAACAGACCTAAAGGACTTAAATTAAAAAATGGTAATGTCTCTCTCGTGTGTGTGTGTGTTGGGGCAACCCCACCCACAAACAAAAAAGTCCCCCAAACCAAAACCAACACCCCACATAAACCAGAACAGAACCAGCAAACAGGTTGTGGTCAACATTATTATTGTTTTTCAGAAATGCAATTTAGAGAGGCCTACTGCAATCTAAGTTTTACAGAGTAACAAAGTATTTTAATTGCTCATTTAAATTTTTCTATTTTCCCCTATTCTGTGAAATAGAAACAGTCATTTAGAAGATACTAATGGCTGACAAACTCAAACATATACCTTTACCCATATTCAACCAGAATGACATCTGCTTGACACAGCCACTGGACACAGCCACTTAAATATACTGCCAAGCTCTGACACAGCATTCTTTTACGTTTTTTAACAAAGTCAGTATTTTATGGCTTTTAAGGTGTACAACTGAAATGAAAATATGTAAAAAGATGTTCAGCTCTACTGTGTTTTAATAGACGGCTACTTACAAAAAATGCCAGGGAATGAAAGTGCCTCGGTGATGTCTATGTGTAGTTATTACACGTTAGCGTGAACAACTTTAAATCTACAGCATTACTTTCTTCTAGCAGAGTCAAGAATGGCACTCATTCAGAGTTTGCAGATTCAGCATTATCTTTGCTTCAACTTTACAAAGAATAAAAGCAAAACGCTAGTCTTAACATATTGAACTCTGCATAAATAACAGTTTCTCAGTATACAAATTTAGCAGTGCACATTCAGTAAAACATTACTACCATGATTTTGCTAAGCTTGCATAACACAACTGAAAGTTACAGAACCTAACCCTGGAATAATAGGTGAGATGAAAGGTATAAATAATGAAGTGTATCTTGATTAAGAACAAGAGTAACAAGATCCTGATATTAAGCCAAAAAGTTTACTCTGGCCCAAACTCTGCTTAAATACTACAAACTGCAGAGTGTAGAAGTTGTACATACAAACAAGGTTAGTCCTGTTACCTGGCATCATCATCTTTCAGACTAGAGATGAAAAGAATTTTTACATCTTATAAAAGTTGAGAAATCAGTATCACACTGATTAGTTATCGCAAAAGTTTTAAACCATTGCTTTTCTCCAATTAAAGTTTAGCCACAGGAATCTTTTGATGGTATACCTCTTAACAAATAGAAGGTGGCTGATTTTATTTTATTTTTTTTTTTTAAATCTTAAATGTGTTTTAGTTTTATGTGGTAAAAACACAATTGAGGAAGCAGATTCCAAAACAGATGAAATTTTATGAACTCAAGCTGCCCATCTGCAAGAAGCATTATCACTGACTGCATACCCAGTTGGGTTTTTTTAAGAATACATTTTTAGCATTTTGTTACTGTTCATTCCAATTGCTATTTGGCTTGCAGTATCTCCTTTGTTTGTGAGTGCGTTCACGTATCTAAACATTGACATACATGTTTTCAAGCTGTTAGGATAAACTAGACACTTGGGATAAAAACCAAATTAAATTTATATGTTGATATATGGAATTTTAATGACTACAAATTGCTTTTGAGCAATTATCCTATATTATGCATTATTGATTTCACCTGGTTGAACTGCTCTTTTAGAGAGAACTAAAATGATCTCCTCAGCCACCCTACTCAATACTGTCTTTTTCCTTCTGGAAACTGGTCACTCAGATGCCAACCGTGGTATTTACTGGACCAGTTATTACCAAGTCAGGCAGGCTGCTACTGACCTTAAGAGGATTAAAAGCATTGGTGAAATGGCTTCTGATCTCTGGTAAAGGACAATACCTACTGAGCGATTCAACCTCCACAAACCCAGTTTCTCCAAAATGAAAATGTAGAGCACAACGTTTTCAGCTTAAGATTTTACAACCAATTTCAACATCACGTATGCTTAAAAACCAAAGGTAGGTACTTTAGGGAGTCTTCACAAAATTATGTTCAATTCTCATGCCTAGTACACGGACAGCGTAAGCTCTTAAATACTACCAGTGTATCTCTTCAGAACAGAATAGTGGTCACTTTGCATTATAACCCAAACTTGTTATGTATCTTTCTCAAATTAGTGATCTTTTGGTATATTTTTACACCACTTCTCTGTAAAATTGTGCTAAGACTCTCTCATTATAAGGTCATTTTTGAACAAGACCCAAAGTCATGCCTTAAAGACATGACTAGTACTTAATCTTAAGTTAAAGACAGCCTAGTACTTAATCTTAGCACTGATATTAATAAATACTAACAGATGGTCTACCCAAATTTTCCTTCTAAAGCTATTTTTAAAGCAAATTTCAATTCTTGGAACATTAAGCATCCCATGCAATCCAGTTACAGAATCCTCACTTGTGACTTTTTCAATCAAATTTAAACAGATGATTTGTTGAATACAAAAATACATGTAATCAAATGTAACTTTGACTGTAAAACAAAATAAGTAGGAAACAGCCTAAAAGGTCACAAATATATTAAATGCATTACAGAGATTATGCTACAAGCTGTGAAAAGAAGCCAAAATACCACATCCTGCCAAGCAGAGGAAGGAAAGGAATAAATAAGAAATCAGAAATTAAGCACTGATCCAGGAACATTCACAGAGTTATTCTGGAGGACCATTAACAGAACCATTTCGAGAGCACCCAGTTAACACACCCACACCCTCAGAAACAAAAGCCCCTTTGATAAAGTTTGAGACTTTCCAAACATGGCACATCTGAAACTCACCATGTCACCTGCTGACAATTACTCGTATGTTATAAGATTTTAGATTATAGGATCAGTACAAATTTCTTGAGGATTTTTCAAAGACTTAAAATGCATTTATGCAAAACGCACTACTAAGTCTACCATACTGTAGGTCCCCTCAACAAGGACTAAAACTTTATTCAATAAGCTTTGCTACTTCAAATGCTTTATTTCAGAGTCAACTATAAGGCCACTGATTTTTTTTTTTAATCTATTTTTTTACACATTTGATAACGTGCAATATTTACAACAAAGCAATACAAAAACAGTAATTTTTTTCCATCTTCAGTCTTTTTCTACACTATATAGTATGAAAAATTATGCAAAACACCATCTTCATCGATATTCAAAATAAAGATTGCAGTTTTATGATTTTATTTAGCTTCATTTTAAATTTAAGGAAAACATAGAAGCAAGACTGCCAATTTTCTTATGAACAGGTGGTTTTGATGAAACTTATCTTGGCTGATACACGGAGCTTCTAGAAAATAAGTTAAAATAAATTATTTGTTGAAGTACATAGTGCTGCAAAAGAACCTGAGCATTAATCCTTATTAAAACTGATAGATAAAATAACCCAAATTTAATGTTTGAACTTATATCCTCTGCTCTTTATAACACATGTTAACCATGGTCTTCTCCAACAAAAACATTTGTGCTACCACAAACAGATGGACCTACAGTAACAGTTAGTCTTGCTGAATGCTAATGGGTGCCTTAAGCAAAGGAAGAAATATTAGGATACCATGCAGGTTTACTGAACTCACCTGACAGAGGTGTAAAACCATTTTCTAGGAGCAGAGATGCATGCACAAAAGTAAGAACATGATTGCAAGTAACAGATTTTCATGAAATTAGATACAACATCTTCAAAATGAACAAGAAAATATCCTGGTAAAAATAAAAAGTAAAATTTCAGGGTTCCTCACCTCTCGCTTTGCAAGCAGCACATTAGGAACAATATGAGGCAGGCAGCGTCCCAACATTAACATAACACTTTTTTCACTGTCTGCAATCCGAGACACCTAGAAAACCAAGTTTTTTGTTTGATTTTTTTAAATAAAGCACAGGAACAGAAAAATATCCTTTCAAAGGAATAGTATGAATCGTAGCAGGCTGATTACTTACCAGAAAACATTTAATTTACTCACACACATTAAGTTTTTGATCTGGCAGTAACTTCAAAAGCATGAACCCCCTTGTAGAGACTCAAAACTTCCCAGTAATTACATATCTATCACTAGGTTTCATATTTAAGCTAAAATCTGAAAGCATATCATTATTTCTTAAATTTCATGCACATAAATTTCTCTCTCCATATATGTTATTAAGACTTATTTCAAAGCAATTATTGCTTAACTATTGCTGCCATGCAGAATAAAGAATCTTCTAGTTTACGTCGACTGGGAAATATACCTCTGATCCCAAACGGCTGTCTGCTGACATCCGACAGAAAGACAGTAGTGCTTGATGGAAAGCTGGCGACAATTTCCTAAAATATTGTCAAAAAGGAAGGGGGGAAAAAGCATAGATCAGAAAGGTGACTAAACAAGTCCTTTCACTCTGGTTTAACCAGCTAGGTAAAAATGACATTCAGAAAGCATGTTTTAAGTGAAGCATACTGCAGAAGTTTTTGTTTAAAATTCTCTTTGACTTTTAGGTTGTTTAGTTTGTAGCAAGAAAAAAACCTAGGTGTCCTAATTAAGAAGTTACTTTTAGTTCCGAAAAATGTAACATCTTTCAAACTGCTGCACAGATAAAAATAGGACGAAAGCATGAAGAAAAGGAAGCTTTAGCAATACAAGAGGAAACATACAATTATGCAAACAGGGCGGGGGGGAAGGTGTCGAAAGCACAGTATTTTTGCTTAATGCTCCGATTCTGCACATTGCATAAAAACATTTGAGTAGTCAGTCACTTACAAGCTTCAGGATTAAATAGAGATTGCTCAACTGCCACTTTGGGATCTAAACGTTGGATTCAAATGTATAGATAGAACCTCAAAACTAACTTTAAATTGCTGCCTAATCCCTAATGTAGATGTGTATCTATAGAAGTACTGCCTCATGGCCATACAGGGCACCAGCCAACACAGCCGAGCTACTCAAAGCCTTAAGCATACACATAAAACCCCAGTAAGAGTCTCAAAACAACCCTGGCTGAGGAGGATAATTTGGCAGAAACGTTCTCAGAAAACAATTAGTGGACCAACCGTTACATCTGAAAAAGGCAAGCAGGAGCATCAGCATCATCCTATTTTCCCAATGACAACTCCCTTTGCCTTTTCTGAGGCCTGTATTTAGATGCTAATCTAACACTGCCTCATCCGCTATGCTTAAAGAAGAAAAAGAACTTTTGTCTTCCAAAACGTGCACAGAAAGCATCTCACCCTATATCATCACCTACTGTTTGAATCCTCTAATGACACTATATGAGTTAAGGGAAGAGGCAATTCATATTTCTTATTGTGGAGAGTCGCATCACCTTTTAACCCTTAAAAATGCTATTTTGTGCACCTGAGCACCCAAAATCCTACGCATATGCAACTATGTATATGGACATATACATTTTTATCTAATAGATTGAGACATCACACTATTTATAGTAAACACATGATCATTCACCCTTTTCTAACCAAAAATAGCACATTAAGAATCTAAGATCCTACTTATAATTGTTTAAACTAATCCAGGAGTATATGGATAAATCTACCAGAGTAGTTTTCCTCTTCTAACTATTTACAAAATATGATAAAGAAGAATTTATGTTTATTACTTAAAAACAAGTTTCTTTCTTGACAGTATGGGGTTTTAAGACACATTTTAAATTTTAATGAAGGAAGGGTCTTTTAATTCCAATCAGCTTGGTTTTGTGCAAGGGTTTCACTTTAAAAAAAGTTACTAAATGACTCAGACGGTAATGAGTTGTAAAGGACCTCTGTTTAACAGTATGTTAGTCCTTATTGTGTAAAAGTATTCTTGAATGACAGATATACAGGCTCTACTCAGGCTTTAAGGTTTATTTACACTGGGAGAACATGGGCAAGTGTTGCAAAGCAGCAGTTTAACATTAAGAGAGTGCCAAGACCTTGGCCAGCCCTTTGCCCAGGCTGTCCTTCACCTCGGCGTTTGTTCCACAGAACATCAGATCCTTCCCACTTAAAGCCTTAATTAAAATCCTGCATAAGGGCAAAGTTCTATCCCCATTTTGCAGAGAGTGAAAACTAAGTATGACAATATGTCACTGAATTTCCCCATGGGTTAATTAACAGCAAGCTCTAGGCAGCATGAATCCCATTACAATTGCTGGCTATATTTAGAATCAAGAAAGCACTCCTTGATGAAGCCTAGTAAGTCCCTGATGGCTATGCTGGACAGAACCGATGACAGACCCAGGCCTCTTGCACACAAGTCAGTGGAAGGTCTTTTCAAGGGCCAACAGATGCCAATAGCGAAAATGTTCAAATATAAGAAAGTATGATGAATACAAAGACCAAGTACTACTATTCTATCCCATGTAACACTGGGCCAAAAGAGTTAACTCACTGAAAAAGTCAGGAGTGACTGCTGTATAAAGAAAACACCTTGTATTTGGTGCAAACTACCAAACACCTAAAATGAGTTGAATAAATACATGTGGTGCAGTCTATTTAAACTGCTGCTAGTGCTTTCTACTGCAATCTGTTAGATGAGGCATTTTTCCAATGATGGCCATGTCCTCATTTCTGGGCATGCACGCACAGCTGCTCTGAGTGCAGTCACACAAAGCAGGCTCCTCACTTGCTCTTCCATCCTCTCTTCCCATCTGGGCAAGATTGATGCCAAGAATCTACTCCCTAGCTACAGTAATAACAATCTTGCCTTTTAGGATAGAGTCTTATTTTTTAATACCTCTTAACATATTCTGAATAAATTGTAGTAATTGTCTTCTACAAATAGCCACCCCTGGACTGAAACAGATAAATATCCAGCACCTCTACCGTGCTGCTTCTCCCACAGATCTCAAAACACTTAAATAATATAATTCTTAATGGAAAAAAATTTACTGTTTTATTACAAACCAAGTGCATAATCCAGGAAGAAAATTCAGTGACATGGATCTATAAATCGCTGTATCAAACATGGTTTCCTCTGACCCTTCACTAACATGTTAAGCTCAAACCTCAGTACAAAAATAGCTACATATTACACAGGCATTACTTATTTCTGTAGTGAACTGCATTTGAGGGGACTTCCGGAGTTAAGACAATAGGGATTCAAAGCTTTATTCAACTACTTTCTAAATAAATCCACGTGCAGTTATATTTAAGAGAGCTGTGAGCAGCAAAACAAATTCGTTTTTTTCTAGAGATTACAGTCATAAATCCCACTGGAGATACTCATAGTTCCTTCCTTACCTGGTGATCTCATCCTATTTTGATACCCATACTTACTATCCCCAAACCATCAATCTAATATTCATGCACTTAATGCCTCCAACACTCCCAAATACTCTGAGTAAAAAGAAACTTGCAACAAGCCACGGATTAAAGTAGGTAGACAAGTTTATAGCAATCAGTGCACAACAGCTATAAGTTTTTATTATTATATAGTCTAGATATTTAGCTAAGACATGAAAGAAATTAAAAAAAAAATCTGGAAGTTTAAATGGAACCACTGCAAATTTTCCAGAAAAATCTAAGCTGAGTTTTACTTTCCTATTAAACAGTAATATATTCAACTAGAAGAGAAGGAATTTGTAGGAAGACTCTAAGGTACTGTATTCAGAAATCAAAAAATCTTTCCTCCTGTTCAATTCTACAGTTAAGATATCACTGAAAAAGCACCCTTGCCCCTAAGCGTCAGTGCAAGAAGTTCAGATAATCCAGAGAAAATCCAAGATACTTAGGGTTTGCAAGAAAAGTTAATTACTAGCAGGGGTAGCAACTCTAAGTCCTCACCTTTCCATCTGCACAAAATATCACACAGATTTCTACTTAGTATTTTCAGATGGAAGATAATTCTAGAAACATGTTACTGTATTAGCACCAGCAAAAGAATGCTAAGGGAACAAAAAGGCTACCTACTCCCAATGGTAAGATCATAAGGTGAGCTACTTGGGTGTCTTTGTCCACAATGAAAATTTTAGAAGCTGTACATATCCTCATTAAGTTTGTGGTCTTTGTTACTCCTGATGGCTACATGGTGGTTTATGTATTACTTAATGAACATGTTACTCCCCCTCTTCACTATAATGCTTAAAAAGACTGAGTAGATTGGAGAGGCTTTCTCAAGAACACTCAGACACACAAACTCAGTCTCTGTGTAATAGTACAGCACGAATACCCTATTTTAATTTAAAAAAAAAAAAATAAAAAAATCAGTTACCCAGTGAAGACTTGCCCCAAATTAAAAAAAAACAAAAACAAAACACAAACCAATTCAAAAGTCATTGGATACCCTTTCTATTTATTAAAATAAAACAACACACCATAGAGCACTCTCAGATACTCCAAGAGTTATACACATCTACATAGAAAAAGTAAAAAAATTCCCAACTGCTCTTCAAGCAGAAGAGAAGATTTCATTATGAAATTAAAATTTGAAAAAGAATGGAAATACCCTGTCTTCCCATTCACCATTTCGATTTTCGTGGGGGTTGGTTTTTTTTGTTTCAAAGAACCGGACTGGTTTTATAAAGAAGTAAGAGGTGAAAAGAAACCCTTAAACTGAATACTAAAAATGCTGGTTTGTCAAATGTCCTCTTTCCTAAAAAGATTAGGAACAATATGAAAATATCAGCAAGGTACCCTAAAGGTATGTATAGTCTTTTACTTGCATTCAAAACACAAATATCTATGAATTCTGCAGAATTTTACTACTAGAAAAATATCTATCCACTTTACAAGAATTTTTAATTAAAGCATTCCGGTTTAAAACTTAGCACTAACCTATTAGGTTTATTGAAGTGGACTGGAGCTTTAGTTGATGGAGCACAAGAGGTCAGTTTCTCTGTTTCTTTACAGGGCACGGAATTTAGCGTATTATCTTCAGAAGTCCTTGAGTCCACTTCAGTTGGTAAAGAAAGGCTTGTTTCCTCAGTGCTGCCATGTTTATTTTCATTCTCAGAGCTCTTGATATCCAAGTACCGTCCATTGTCCTCTGAGACTGTGAGAGGCACTTGTTTTAAAGAAGGATGGGGAGCTACACCATAAACTGTTGACACAGCAAAGTTTTCATTCTTGAGAAAATCTATTTCACTAAAAAAAGGAAAAGCAAAGAATGAAGTATTTTTGTAGCTTTCGTGAGAAGGTTGTTGGAATCACAAGACTGAAGCATAGAAATAAGGACAACATACTGAAGAACTCCCTCTTTGACTCCAGTACATTCAAAAATTCCTTTTATAGAAATAACTTATATCACACAAGCTATTGAAATGAGCACTGGTTTAATGGAGTTCTTTAGTCAGTAATTAGTTGTAGGAAAAATGTTGCACTCTGAATCAGTGAAATAAGTGAGTAACAATAGTGTTACCTGCTTCCGGCTGAAATCTGAGCACGGAGACACAAACTATCACAAGACAGAATTCTATCAGGGATGCAAAACTTAAAATACTATAGTGGTGAATTAATATATACTATCCCACCTGGCTTTGCAATGGTAACTATGCAAGTCAATAATAGCGCTTAAAAATTAGGCACTTGCCCCTATGTTGTATTGGTGCATCTCTTAAGAAGAAAGACATCTTAGAGCTTACAGAATCATATGCTTTGACCAAACTTTTAAAGTCTCTTTTTTTCTTGTTATTAAAGATACTGTCATTTCTACTAGTCTTATTCTGTAGAAAGAAAAACTGTGTTGAAATAAATTATTATAACAAACATCTTTCTAACAGTGTTTGCAAGCTGTACACACCATGGTACTAAGGAGTGGAATAAAGTTGACTGAAGAGAAAACCTACACAAAAAACATCAGAATGGATTCGGCTTTCAGAGAAGTAAATAAGTTGCACTGAAAGAATAAAAGTGATTACAAAAATGATACAACGGAGGTGATAAAAGGGAAATAGTTTGAATTATCTTCCTTTTTCTAAACCAAATACCATGCATTAACAAGGAAAGACTGCCCTGCTCTGAAGATCTACTAGTAATTTTGTAAGTTGTATGTTTTCATATATGTGCTAAAAAACATTGAGAAGTTATTCCAACATTTATCAGTAGTTGAACAGATTGATAAGTACATACCTCTCAAGTCTTTGGATTTGTTCCATTAAAGACCATTTCTCACTGTTTAACACACTAATTTGATCTTCTAATTTTTGCACTATTAAACATTGCTAAATACAAGATAGAAACAAAAGAGTTTAGTATAATACAGTTAAGTAGTACTGCAAACAGCTGAAACATTTCTTCTGTACAATCTCTTACTTCTATTGACTGTGTTGTTTCAAATACAGGGACGCTCCCAAGTATAGGAGTAGCAGCCTCTAACTCATCATCTTCTACGCCAACTGATACATCCACCACATCTCTTGCAGTAACATGATGATTTCCAAAGTCACGATAGAGTTGTAACAGGTCAGGAGGTTTTGGAATGTTCAATCCTACATCATCCCAAAGTTCAAAATCCTTCAAAGGAACAAGAAAAACTAAGGCATGCAATATACCTCCTTTTATTTTTGTTTTTCTTTCTTATTTGACTGCAGGTCACACAACAGCAAAATAATCATGTCAAGATTGCATCGTAGTAAAGGAGATGAAAGCATAAATTGGATAGCATGAAACAAAAGTAGAAAAAGGATCCATTTCATGACCCAAAGCAGTTTCACCCCAAAGGCAGCTCTAGGTAATGTGTTAAAGAGAGGACCTTCCAAAACCACATACATCACAATTTACTTCTCTTCTAGGATGTGAACACTTTTTACAATCAGATATAACGTTGATCAAATTCTAGCAGAAGCCAGTGCAGCCGGTAGCAGGCTTTCTACTGACAGGGGAATTGTTTTGTTCCCATCTCATTCACAGCTACGCTTGTAATTTTCCAGAAGTAGACAGTCAAATAGCGCTGTAGATGACCGGTAAATGGGGTGCATATTCTCAGTGAAATCTGGACATAAATATATTAATTGTATATAGGTGTAAACAATACTAGGGTGTCCTGGCTCAAACCATCACTATATGTCCTTCCTTTTATTGACATGTTACCAGCCCATTATTACAAGATTATTCCATGTTTTTATATGCAAAGAAGCATGTGCACTGTTATATAGGAGTTGTGATGGTCTCTCTAATGACATTAAATTTCAATATTTTTTTTTTATGTTTTCCCTACTGTTCACGTTTTTCACTATATTTTTCCATAGTCTGGTTACATACACCTATTCTAAGAAAGATTATTTTCTGAAAAAATTTTGTGAATAATCTAGAAAAAATGTGCATTCTGTATTAACTGCAGTATATTTATTTTTACTTTTTAGGGTTAAGAACTTTCCCAGGTTTTTTTGCTAATTGTCTCACAACATAAAACATTTTCAGTTGAGAACACATAAAAAGTAAGGATAAATTATTCATCTTTTCTCTTTAGGGGGACTGTATCCTCACAAGTATTTGTATGAAACCTAGCACTGTTAAACTCAAATCTTAAGTGGATGATGCAGACATTTTATTTAACAACCCATTTTCATTACAGATTAGGATATGAGTTGTAGCAAAAATGTAGGAGGACTAGTTATAGATAGAACTGGTTGAAATTAAATATTTAATATTGAATTCAATAGTTAATTCTTCTGGCAATATTCCAGTTTTGTGAATATATATTGGGTGTTGATTTCACTGGGTGTTTTGTTCACCCACTCACAGTCAGAATGCAATTAGAACCTTCCAAACATTTGAATATTTTTTTCCCACGAAATGCAAGCCAGAGACATAAAACTGATCATCTTAAGAAAAATGCATCAAAGCACAGCTATGTTTGAAAATATCTAAGGTAACGCCTTATCGCCGAGAGCTTCTCCAAGACTATATTCAATGCCACAATATGATTAGGTACACTTATATACATATATATGCCCAGGAGACGACAAATAATGAGTATATTGTGCACAAATCAACTGAGTATGATCTAAGGAAAAGTTTATGTTCAAAATTTTACTACATCCAGACCCTTGAGTTTAATTGAAAAGGTAGCCGTCAGAATCCAGGAAAGTGTATAAGTACCTATAACTCTCAGTATTGTTCCTCTTGTTTTGCTTCCTTTAGAGAATGCAAGCATTCTGCCTCCTTCGTACAAATACTGGGAAAATACTCCCCAAAGTGCTGTTTTCTCAAATCATGCTTTATATATGAAAATGCTAACTAACATATTTAACTCTTAGAATACACATATGCATGAAATGAACTACATGCACAGTAAATATCATTTAAATTTGCTTGAGTTTATGACAAAAATCAGAATATGGAAAGCAGGTATGTAAAAGAAAAACACAAGAAAACTTTACCTGATCATGATTTTCATCTGAAAATGTTATTGACGTAAGTTTGTAACTATTCTTCAATAAAAATTCATTAACTAGGAAGTTTAGAGCTCTTTTCTCAAGAGGTCTGATTGGCTCCTGGAAAAAAAGAAAACAATACACTACATCTTTCGTTCATCTTCCTTCCAACTACGGAAGCTTATCTGTCTTAAAGTCCATGCAAAGCTCAGTTATCACCAGCCACCTACCTGAATTTCAGGACTTGATTTGTAATTTTTTCGTTCCTGCAAAGGAACTTCATTTTCTGGGGAGGAAAAAAAGTAACTACATTTTACTCTTTCACACAGGATGAGCTCAGCTACTTCTACATTGTTCAAAGTAGAGACTTAAGAAAAGGTTTATGTACACCACCTGCAGCCTGAGTCAGGTTGGCTCGGAGGGCCTGTATGGTCTCCTTGGCTTTCCGTAGTTCAAACTCCAGGACTGGACAGGGATTTGGATTAAACACACACAGGCATCCAACCAAGGCAAGGGAAACAAAAATAAAATATAAAAAGCAAGGATGGGTGTGAAAAAAAATATACAGTTTGTATTAAACAGAAAGCATGCAATCTTTATGGAACTTATGAACACATGCAGCAGAGTTGGTCTGAAAGCAAACTGGTGAACATTTTCCATAGTTTCATTAGCCTTAAGTTAGCTAAATCAAAATTTCAAGCTGTCTGACAAGGACTCGCTGTAGGGTTTTGGGGTCTTTTTCTTGGTTGCTTTTAACTTTCCATATTACTGGGCAATGCTTGTTATTTCTTCCCCACTCTTACAATCAGCTGACACTGTCAAACGTTTTGATTTCTTGGGGCAAGGGGAATACGCAGGCAATCAGAGGACAGATATAAATGAAGCAAATACATGCTGGCAGCAGAGGAAGCTGTCTCCATGTAGCAAAGCTTAAACCATGAAGTGCATGTACTGTCCCATTGAGACTACAGGGAGTTTTTTTTAGACATAAAATTATACACTGAAATTTTAGTAGTTTAAATGGCAGAACTTGAAACATACTTTATTTTACTACTAAGAATAATCTTGTTTTAAACATCTATTTAAAAATAGTGGAGTTTTAGGAGTACCCTAGAGCTGATTAAGATTTTGAATTTAATTGTATACATTTAAGAGATGCACAAGACCAAAAAAAAAAGCAAAATATGCAGCTCTCCTATAGTACTTGAAGAGAAGCTTGAAACAAAAATGTATTGGCTCCATTATTCTTAAAAGTTTCCAGCGCTTCTAAACTATACAACACTTTCAATGATCTAGAGTCAGCATTAGAGATTCAAAAATATGTAATTCTAGCTGCCATTATCACCTGCTCCACCTCCTCACTCTCCTGGTAACTGTTACATGTTTCTCACATTCCAATGTTTCCTCCAAAAAGGGCCAGTAGTGCTTAGTTTGCACTGGAATTTCATGTGTTTTGATGTTCAGGTCATAGGTATACTGTGGCTTCAAATTTTAAAACCCTGTACCTCTTGCAAAACATACATTAAATTTTCTTTTTATAGCCATTTACAGTTAGAGCATCTAAGGGAACCTATTTAAGGGATTACCAGATAATTACATGCATTTCATTAACTCTCAGATTAATCTAATCACGCTTAAATATGCAGTTACCAGAAAGGATTCCTGTGTTTAACTAGAAGAGATGAGCACAGAACAGCTACCACAGTGAAGTGTTAAACTATTCTAAACAGATTATCTAACATTTACTTTATTCCCATGCAAAACTAAAAATGTTGTGGCTGCTTTTAATAAGAAAGTATTAAGGAGACCTGTGATCACTGCCTGGAAACAATTTAACATGGCATTTTGGAATACTTACACAGAGCACAATGCATGGCAGAAAGACTGCATTGGCTCTTGCTGGTAAGAAATGCTACTGAAGACTACAAATAAAACTGTTTCCTCTTTTGAACATCTCTTACTAAGAATCTTTTGATAATTTGCACGCATGGAAAAAGAGATTCACTCAGTTTGCATTTATCCATAAAAACTGAAGGAGTAACTACAGTACACCACATTTGCTACGTGAAAGTAACTTGTTTGATGCACAGAATTTTACTGCAGCGATACAAAAGTGCAACTGAGGATACAATGAATAAAATATGTAAAATCTCTCTAGTATTCAGCAATGCTGATCTGCAAATACTTCTGTGCAACAAAGTTAGAAAATGCTCTTGTAGTAAAGTATCTAAATTAATTTTAGCACTTCCTTGCATTTGAGTTACTCATTCACAGTTACAATTCTCAGCTGTAAGCTACTAATTTGTTAGTTTTTGAAAATTGTAAAGAATTCAAATTAAGTAATTCTTCTGATGGAAATGACTATGTCTTAACATTTTATTCTTGTAAAATATTTTCCAAGACCAGAACAGTTGCAGATCAGGAGTGCCCTGCACTAGAATGATATAAATAATAAAAAAAAAAGTTAGAAAAACAACACAAACAAGAAAAACTCAGGAATCCCATTAAGGAAAATAGGAGTAAGACATGTCTGAAGGCATAGAAAGCCAAAAAACTCATGTCAGACAAACCCATGTCAGACGGCAAGAATTAATTTTTAGTGAACTGTCATGATGCTGAAAATTCTTAGAATCCATTAGGACTTTACCCATTCAACCTTAGAAGTAGATTACTCTGCTGCATGTTTCTCTGTATACAGTGGAAGATTCTGGACATAGCATATCTGAGAAGTTGTCACTTCGCAGCATGTCACAACAGACACATAATTCTACTACAATACAGCATTGTTACAGTTGTACCTCATCTCCTAGCCTTACTCATGCCACCATTGTAATTGCCACCATACAAACCTTGATGCATCTAAGTCAGTCACAAATTTAGCTCTTATTTGAAGAAGTTTGTTTGTAGGCTTGTTTTACATAAGCATTTGTATATAGCTACAACATAATTTCAATTGAATTTTAAATTGTGATTCAAAGCTCTGTTTTAGAAGCTATACTGAAATGCAATCTTCTGCCAAAATATCTAATGATTTTTAACTCAATGTGTGCTAGTGAAACCAACACTGGAAATCCCCATTTGTTGATATGACGTTCTCTTAAATAAAAACAAAAGCAACCCCGAACCCCTTTCTTTGTAACCATTGTCAAGCACTGACTTTTAAAAGAAATGACCTGATCTCCCTCTCCCTACTCCTTCTGCTGTGAAGCTTATGTACCTTTGAGAATTTAAGCCTTCCAAAGCATTGGTAAAGCCAGTTAAAGTTTAACTTCATGCTCGACTGAACTGATAACATGTGTAACTCATTATAGCACTTGGTGAAATGAGCTGACACTCCTTAAGAATGATGCACGGAAGAGTTTTGCTGCATACAGCCTAGGAAAGGAAAGAACCAGACTGATTCTCCTCTACATCAGGAAAGCAGAGAACAGAAATTTAGAGCTCTGAGGTTGGTTAATCTTCCTACAAGGAAAGGCATTTCTGAACAATCTGTTTTGCCTTAGGGGAAAAAACTCTTCTGAATTTAAGTGGCTCTCTTGCTTTTTTCTTACAGCTACCGTTCTGAAAAAAAAATAAATTACTTAGACTAACTTAAGAGCTGAATCTTTCAAGTAAGCATTAGACTTTTTAAACTAAGCATTAGACTAAGATTTTCAGATTAGCAATTTTTAAATCTTTCAGTTTTCATGCAGCTAATCTAGTACACGTTAAAAGAGAAGTGCATTATCAGGCGTGGGTAGCTTGTCTGTTCAGCTTTGAAATTTAGAAGTGAAGCTTTCTCAGGGATCTTATTCTATTCACCCACATTTGTTAATGACTTCATGAATGGTTATTGAACGATAGACTGAGAAGTTAGCTATAAAGAACAACCTGTGATTTGGGATACTGAACAGCAGTCTTGCTGGGCCAAGGCCAAAAAGTTGAAGAAATAAACAGTACTTCTAAAAATTTTCAGTACTTTTATATAAGCAGTATTTTTCCAACCGTACTAGAATTTTACATTCTACATATGAATTATCTTGTCACTTCTGCATATTTCGGTATGAAGTATTTCATACAACAGTAAAAAGGTAGGTTTATGTTGTGAAGCCACTATATGGCATTCTGGCATTTTCTTTTAAAAGCAGTTCTCTTCTGAAGTACCAAGGGCCCCTGCGCTTACCTAGCTTTCCTTGAATTCGGACTTACTGTTACAAGTTTTGTTTCTTAACTGTCATTTTGAGTTCTTCCTCCTTGTAAAGTAAATGTAGAACTCTAGATGGCCTAAATTATGCCCTCTACAACATGTATGACATCCCATTGCATTTGATGGATTCATGCATACATTTTGAGTCAATCAGAAAAAATTTAAATTCTCTGACTATAATTAGCAATGAAGCCACTATAACTTCACGATCCGAGGTCTCCTAATTCCCACTTCCTTGATACAAGTCATAAGAAGTAGTGACCATATTTACAGTCAGCGTGAAACACTTCAGGATGTAACACAAATAGACCTGATCCAGAAAGCTGTACTACAGCATGAGAGATGACTATCAAGCTGCAAAAATCATGATCAGCATGAGAGCTCATGAGCAAGCTAACAGAGAACTTGTTACCATTCTAATAGTGGAAAACCAACACTTGACTCACTAGCCTCATTAATGCTTTTAAGTTAATGCGAAAGGACCAGCTAGAGAGAAGACCTGAACTACAGCAGACTCGTCTTCAGGTTCAAACCTTGGAGACCATCAACCTGGAAAGAAATTAAGGAGGCTTACAACTGCTTAATAGGGCTTAAGACAGGAAATAGGAAAACGAAACCAGACCCACTTCCAGGATGAACAAGTTGAACGCACAGTGTTAGCAAGTGATTGTTGTATTACAGATGCCTTTTGTGTTTGTTTTGTTTGTTGTTTTAAGATTCTCCTCTCATTTTGATTGCACACAAGTAAGAGTACCTATTAAGAACAAACAAAAAGGTTCTATAAAAAGCAGGAACAGTGAACCTAAGCAGAGATAAATGAAATCCTCAAAAATAATCAAGTGGTTTTTGAACTTGTCTCTTCCCTTCAAATCCTGACAGGGACAGTATTTTATTCTGCTAATCAGAGATACATAGTCTAGCCAGAAATCAATGCTAATGCAGGGAGATCAGAGAACACAAACCATTGAAATAGAGTCTGACTGAAATAGAGTTCGACTATGAAAAATAATTTTATTATAATTGAAAACACAGCACTCTAAACTTATCAGAGTCTCAGAACAGCAGATGTCAAAGGCAGGCTAGCAACACTAAACATTTTGAATTATGGGAAGTATGGGTTTTATATCACAAACATACTTGTGCACACAGTTAATTTAAGATTTGGCAGAAGATTCTGTTCCTTAGACTGAATGTCAGAAACCCTATTTACATCAAACGCTGTGGAT